AAATAAAAAGTGTCCATACTTCTCTCTATATATGGGGATGGAGGGGTTTCATAGTGAATGATGAAGATATTTTCTTGGATTCCCAGTAAATTTGCTTGGATTCCCATTATATTTATCAGGAGATAGATACGTGGTTTTAGTAGCCTATGTCTGCTGCAGTTTCTTTAGGATTTGGGCCTGGGAATGAAGGCTGTGTCTGTGGTCTATCTGGCTTACTACCATGTTTCCCTGAAAATAAGACCCTGTCTTATATTTTTTTGAAGCCCAAAATAAGGGCTTGGCCCTTATTTTGCGGCACAATTTGGGGGTGGCAGGTGGGGAGGAGGAGAAGCGAGGGGCAGGAAGCCCTGCCATGCTTGGCAAGAGAAAAGATGGCGAGAATCATGGCTGCTTTTGCAGCTGATTGAGGCTGCAAAAGCAGCAGGAGGCTCCACGCGTCTCGTGCCCCCTTCAAGAACAGTTTTACTTCAATCAGTTGGCAAGAGCATGCCACGATTGAGGCTCCCTGGGGTGGAGCCTGCAGGCCGGCGCTTGAGAGGGTCTTGGGGGGGAAAAGCCCCTTTACGCAACCCAGCCTCTCTTTCAGGTGGGCAGGAAGCCCTCTCCTACTATGCAACCGGCTGATTGAGAATTGGGCAGTCCTGGAACCGCTCCCTGGCTGGACACGCAACTCCAGCAGGAAGGCGTCTCCTTTGGGCTACTGAGCCCAAGCCTGCCTGCCTACTTGGTGCTGCAGGTGCCAGGTTACAATCCTGAGTCTGGTGGGTACTGCAGTTCTCAGGCCAGCTGTGCGCAGAGCTGGCATGAGAGTTTCAGTGGCCACCACTGAGCCAGTGTAGCTGTAGCCCGGCCCCTGCAGCACTGAATAGGTATACAGGCCGGCACTCAGCATCCCAAACATTTGACAATGCAGGTCGGCGCCTATTGGGTACCCAAACACTTTTCAACCACTTTGTCTTCCTCTCTCTGTCTGTGTGTGTGTGAGCAAAAGAGAGAGAGAAAAAGAGAAATGGTGGAGGGGAACCAGGAAGATTGGATAGATGAGGTGCTGGTGGTGAGTGGGGCAGCCATCGCCTGCCACGAGCAAAGCACTGGGTGGAAGTACCCGCTGTGCAGGGGCAGCTGAGCCTGCATTGTGCGGCGGGGCGGGGCGGGCACAGCCTCCCAAGTGCGAGCCTTTGCTGATCGCTAGAAACAGGCCCTCCCCATCCTCTGCTTCCAAGTAGGGAGGCTGTCCTTGGGTGAAGTGGTGGCTTCCCTTCCTCCTCAAAGGCCCACCCTGCTTAAAGGCCTAGTGTGGCACTCCCCTTCGGCTGTCCCTCTCCAAGCATTCCAATCATGCAGCTTCTCTGCCCCTCGAGCTAAACTGGCCAAGAGGAGCACACAAATTTGCTCATAACAGTGCCCCAAACTCCTCCAGAGCCTCGCCGCTTTTGGTCGCTGCCTCCCTGGCCCGAGGCTCCCACAGCGTGCCCATTTGCTTAGGGTGAATGTGCCCTTTTCTGGCCAGTCACTGTTTTGGAGAAATGTCACAGCAGTTTCTCTATCTTCCTCCCTCTCCCCCCCCCTCTCTCTCTCTCACACACACACACACCATTCTTTCTTTGGGATCGCAACACAGACGCTCCTTCCAGAATTGCAAAGCTGAAGGCTTCGGATGGAGCATTTTGGGGAATGTGTGTCTGTGATCCCAAGTAAAGAAAGATCGGCAGGAAATCTGGGCCGAGTTGCACAGCCCTCGCTGATTCAGCTGATCAGCGGGCAGCAATTAAGGGGCTGAACCTCCAGGAGGTGACTAGGGAAGGGAAGGGTTGCCCCCTGTGCTGGCCCTGCCCACCCCTTCACTAAGGCTTATTTTTGGGTGTATATGCCCACCCCAAAAATTAGGCTTGGCCTTATTTTCGGGACATGTCCTGTATTCAGGGAAACATGGTAATTGGTACTAATATTATAGGAAGACATTGGTAACTTGATCAGTAGTGGGTTCCACTTACCTTCGTTACCGGTTTGGAACTGGGAGCGCGCATGTGCACTTGCTCACTTTGCTTCCGTGATGATGTCCAGGCGGGTGGGCAGAGCGTTCCCCCTCCACCACTACCAGTTTTCCTGAACTGGTAGAAACCCACCTCTGAACTTGATTAATATGGGAAGTTTCAGAGCCGGTATGTTGTTGATCCCTTGGTGGTGACAGTAGGATTGTGATTGGGCAATTAAGCTTCCCACTTAGGCTCATCAATAAATCATAGTCTTAAGGCACTTAATCCAGTTGTCAATTAACTTTGGCTAAATATTAGTTGACTAGTTTAGAATCTTCATTGCAGAGAAAAATGAAATCTGAAACAAAACAAATGATAAGGTATCAAAGACTTACATTTCTATGTTCAGAGGTTAAATTTTAAATTCAAAGGATCTTCATCGTGCAATTTTATGGATCACATGGGAGGTGATATATGATGGGTCCAAGTCATGGTGAATTCATCCTTGTTGGAGCGGTGTGCCCCCTACTTAAGAAGCCATTTCTGGACTCTAGCATTCTGGACAATTTTTGCCCCGTCTCTCATCTTTCTTTTTTGGTTGAGAAAGGTAGTGGCATTGCAACTCCAGAGAACCCTGAAGGAAATGGATTATCTGGACACTTTCCAGTCAGGGTTCAGGCCTGGACATGGAACCAATACTGCATTGGTTTCACTCCTGGATGATCTCTGCAGGTGTGGGATGGAGATGGGGCATCTCTCCTTGCTCTCCTTGACTTTTTGGTGGCTTTGATATCTTTTTTGGATGACTTAGAGAATTGGGGTGGTTGACATAGTTTTGTGCTGGTTCACCACTTTCCTCCGAGGCTGGTCCCAATTGAAGTTAATAGTAAGCAAGAGGTCAGCTCCCAACTCCAACTTTGGAGGGTGCCACAGGGCTCGATGCTTTCTCCACTCCTTTTTAACATCTATATGAAACCACAAGGTGAGATACTCCATCACTACAGGATGAGGTATCACCACTATGCTAATGATACCCAATTATATATCTCCCTCCTGGGTGAAGTGAGTTATGCATTGGATGTTCTTTCATAGAATCTGGAGGTTTTGGGGGCCTGAAGGGGGAACAACAGACTTCATCTGAACCCTGATAAGATGGAGTGGCTATGAGTGAGCCCCTCTGTATCCAGGAGTTTATCATCTTTGGTTTTGAATGGATTTACACTACCCCAGACAGATCTGATGCGTAACTTGGTGGTCCTCTTGGGGTCATAGCTCCTGCTTGAAGAGCAAGTGCAATTATGGTTAGGAGGGCTCAACTTCATGCTGTGTGCCAGTTACACCCTTTCCTGGAGAGGGGAGCTTTCCACTTACTCGTGCCTTAGTCATCTCCCGTTTGAGACTACTATAATGCATTCTACATGGGACTACTCTTGGAAAGCATCTGAAAACATCCTAGCTCGTGCAAAGTGCCATTGCATGAGCTATATTGGGTATCCAAAGAATATAACATCTCTGTTATATACATATAACATCTCTGCTCCACAAACTGCATTGGGTGCTAGTTTGCTTCTGGCAAACCAATTCAAGATGTTGGTTATGACCTATAAAGCCCTGGGTGGCATGGAGCCAGCTTCCTGTAGAACCTGCTTCGTCCTATCACATTAACCCATCCCACCCTGTCAAGCAGACAGATATGTTACAGACCCCGTCTGAGGGTCTAGGGAGAGAGCCTTCTCTGCCATTGCTCTTGCCCAATGGAATATTCTTCTCCCAAAGGTGAGACAGGCTCCACATTCCTGGCCTTCTGAAAAGGGGGTTAAAACATGGCCCTGCGGCCATGCATAGGAAACCCAAAGGAGCAAAAAGTGGGGTTGGTTGGTGCCTTGAATCTACCCCTTGCATTTGTCAACTAATTTTTAACAGGTTCTTGCCTCCTTAATTTTTTTAATAATTTTTAAATTGAAATTTTAACATTTTAATTTTTACAGTGTTTTATATTTTGATACTTTATTATATACCACTGAGAGTCCCACTTTGAGGCACATGGGAAATTCAGAAATATTAAATATAAAAATAAACTTTTATATTAAATATAAAAATAAACAGGGGAAGACGCTGTTGTGGTCTGCCAGCAGCCTGCAGACCTGGCAGCGGAATCAGACAGTGAGGAGGCCGGAGAGGACAATGGGCCACTTCTGGAGTCAGGGGAAGGCCCAGAGGAGGGCTCTGCATTGGAGGCAGAGATGGGGCCAGGGCCATCTGGGAGCGATGCACAGACTCTGGAGCCTCCAGAGGCGGACAGCAGAGAGGTAGAGAAACAGGACGAGCATGTTCCTAGTGCACGCATGCGAAGAATTGCCAGAAGGCAAAAGCAGCTGAAGCAAAAAGGACAATTTGGGAGTAAGGCCAGAGATGATTGGCCACTCCCATAAGGCTTAAAAGAGCAGCAACGAGCCGTTGGGTTCTGTGTAGAAAAACAATGTTGATTCCAGTGCTTCTTTTCAGCGCCTTGAACTTTGTGGGGGTTTTGCCAAGAAAAGCCTTTGGCAGGTTACCAAAGTCATCAAAGGTTGGTGATAAGGCCAACAGACTGGTTAGGAAGAATTTGTTTTGGGCTAAGCTGAGAATGAATTAATTCTCAGCTGTTTTAATAAAATAAGTTTGTTCAGGACTGAATCGTGTTTGGTAATCACTACTTGGATCTCGGTAACAACAGAGACACTGGATTTTCATTAAAAAATAAATATTTTATTTCTAATAATAAAAACAATGAATTACAATATGAAACTTTTGGATAACATTTTCATTTCTGCCTTTAAAACCTTAAGGTAAAAAAGTTAAATAATCCTAAACTAGCAGATCTGGTAAATCATTTTTGTTGCCTGTTTGATCTTCTTTTCAACAGTGGATATCCAGCAAATCAAATTTGTTTTATAAGCCTGTAGTATGCTCTGTGTTTTTCTCTTTTTTGGGACAAATTAATTCTTTTACATTTTTAATATATTGAATAATGTTTTGGTTAAGGTCATAGAGCTGTATATATTGGTGTGCACGTGCCCTTTGGAAAACAAGGTCGACGCCGTCATAGACATCATGGTCATAAACGTCATAGACGAAGAAAAGAAAAGGAGACTGATAGAGAAGATGGGCGGGAATCTCCTTCTTATGGTAAGAACTTTGTTAATACTTTACATTTATAATTAATCTAAAATAGGTTCATGTTTGTCATGTTGGCATACCAACATGGTATGCCAACATGCCTTATGACAAGATGGGCAGCAAAATTTAATAAATAAAAGTAAAAAATGTAATTCGGTTAAAAAACAGCTTTTTTCTAGTTTCCTAAATGTATTGTGTACAATTTGCCTTCCTGGGAGAGATTGTCAGAGTCTTGATCTCATTATTGCTTTTTCAGGGAAAGAGCTGCTCTGCCCTTGAGACTAGCTCTATCTCAAAAACAGGAAAAGTAGGTCCTCTTTACAAGACAGGCTTTTGATTTTCATTTCTTGGGGTTCTGCCATTTTTCTTTCTGCCTCTTTCCCATCCAAAGTTTTCTTGACTTCATTTAATTGTGCTCCCCAGACAATGGTTTCTAGAAAATTAAGCACTGATTAGAGCAGACTATTTCCCTATCATATGTTTACATAGGCAAGGATTTTACTCCTAAATCACTACTGACTTCCTAGAAAGGTGATGATTGTGATTTTTAAGGGTGACTTGTTAATGAAGCTTCCTCTCATACTTCTAAAAAGCACTACATGTTAACAGATTTTCTTCAGTAACTGTGGCCTTTGAAAAGTACAGCAAAAATTGGTAGTATAAACCTGGAAATCACTAATGTGATTCATAATCTTAAGATTTCTGTCATCATCATACTGGTCTCGGGTAGTGGAACAAAACTTCCAGAGTATTTGCTTCCCTTACATGCCACTAATAAATTGTTCCATTGCCATTATTTATCCATAATATCTTTCATTTTGTTCAGCAAATGTAGTTGCGGTTAAAACTTGTTAGTTGTGTTCTGAATCTTAAACATTTGGAATGGATTGAAAGGCCTTTTATATGCTATAATATGATATGCTCTTTTTACACATGTATTTGGCAGAATTGCCTCTAAATGCAATGCAAATGTTGGGATGTATTAGGGTATGTTCAAGCGAATTTTTTTAACTGCACATCTGTAATCCAAATAGAAATGTCGTGTAACAAGTGAAACAAAGTTTTAAACATTAATCTGGTCTATAGCAGGAGGATAATGTCCACTATATTATAGCCCCGGGCACTATTAGATGTAAACTGAATGATTGTTTCTCGGCGATCCAGGAGTGGGATTCTTTCTTATTCTGCCCTATTCTTTCAGAAATAAATTTATGATTGGTAATGTGTTGATATGGATAAGAATGTAGATATTTACTGAACAAGTGTCTAAAATTCAATTTTCATCAAGACACACCATCCCAGAGAGTGCAATTTATCCTTGGTACAGAGGATGATGATGAAGAACACATTCCACATGATCTTTTTACTGAAATGGATGAACTTTGTTTTAGAGAAGGAGAAGAATATGAATGGAAAGAAACTGCCAGGTAACTTGGAAGATAATTTCCTTTTGCTTTTCATTCATAATAATAAATTAAGAGAAATGGCATACATTTGAATATTTGAATGCCATTAAGTAACTGAAGTTTCAAAACCCCTAAGTATATTTCTTCTGGCTATAGTTATTATTGCTTTGTCTAAGTTGAGTTTTTTCACATTTTTGTAAAATCACTGTCTTTTTGCAACATTGAAAAAGTAAGCTAAAATGAAAGTGGAATCCTACACATGGTTCCATTGAAATCTGGACTTTAATTCTGCATAGACAAATATTAATCTCTAAGTCTTTTTAAAAACAAGTTACTAAATTGTATAGGATACCTGGAAAAGTATAGATCAAATACAGATTTCAGAAATTGAGACAATTGAAAAAGCTTAAATTTAAGATATCAATGTAAACTGTGAACACAATGTTCATATTTAAAAAACTAAGACTTGTCTTACTATACAAGTTCATTATACTTATATATATTGCAGATGGCTAAAATTTGAAGAAGATGTTGAAGATGGTGGTGAGCGGTGGAGCAAACCTTATGTGGCTACTTTGTCTCTTCATAGTCTGTTTGAATTGAGAAGTTGCATTTTAAATGGAACGGTCATGTTAGATATGAGAGCCAATTCACTGGACGAAATAGCAGGTAACATATTTTACTTAAGATTTTATTTTAATCTGTTTTATATGTTTTGTAAAGTAATTAAAATATATTTGTGTCTTATGTTTGCAAAAAAACAAAGGAATTCTGTACTTTAATTTTTGTTGACAATATTGCTATGATATTTCAAAATCTTGGTGCAGCCCAGCAGGATATAAATTAAGTCAGACATTTGTATTTCACCATCTTTTTCATGGCTTTAGAGATAGCTTTCATTGGAAGCAGAGACAAGGATATTATTTAATTCTGCTTGGTTTAAGATAGAAGCTTTTCTTTTTTCAAATCATAATTTTTTGACCTAGCACACGCTCATTCCTCTAGTGACTTTCAAGCTCCATTATGAATTGTAACAGACCATCACTAAGCTAATATTTTTAGGTTTACACCAAATATTATGATTCAAAGTAGCTTTCCTTGATTTGGATATGTTCCAGATGGGTGGATGGAATTCTTGAAGTGGTTTAACTGTTGCTGGAAATTCTGGAAATTAACTTTTGGCAAGCAGCAACCAGTGGGTAGTTGTTGCATTGTTGAATTATGCAGGATTTTTTTTTCTTCTTCTTTTCCCTTCACTTCCTGAAAATACCAAAACACAATAAATATCCTAAGGAAAATCTATGTCTACAAAATCCCAGCAGCTGAATAAAACAGAGAATCATAAGTGTACTCCGTTTTTGGTATGGTTTAGCCCTAAACATTTTAATTAATTAATTTATTTATTTATTAGTTCAATTTATATGCCGCCCTTCTCCGGAGACTCAGGGCGGCTTACAATGCATTAAGCAATAGCCTTCATACTTTTGTATATACCTGCTTAGTAGGGCTTTTTGGCCCACCCTAAGCAGTGCTATATTTTATACAAAGTCAGCTTATTGCCCCCACAAACCGGGTCCTCATTTGACCTACCTCGAAAGGATGGAAGGCTGAGTCAACCTTGAGCCTGGTGAGAATTGAACTTGCAGTAATTGCAGGCAGCTGGCAATTAAGTGCTACTTTAACAGCAGTTTAGTCCACTGTGCCACCAGGGCTCCTAATAACCAAACATTTCTTATTCTTATTAAACATTTCCTACATATCCAAGGCTTGAAGATGTTTCTCAGTTATATCAATCTTTCATATTTATTTTAAATTTCATTTCTCCTTTGTAGACATGGTGTTGGACAACATGATAGCTTCTGGCCACCTTGATGAGTCAATGAGAGAAAATGTCAGAGAAGCCCTTCTGAAAAGACATCATCATCAGAATGAAAAAAAGTTTAGTAATCGGATTCCCCTCGTCCGATCCTTTGCAGATATAGGCAAGAAACATTCTGACCCTCTCTTGCTTGAAAGAAATGGTGAGATAAGTTGTGGCATCCAGTTATTTTATGGTTTAATAATATAATGCAGAGATGTGAGAAAAGTCAGCAAATGCAAAAATAAGATCAGAATTCTTTTCCAGCAAATAATAATTGTAAGAACAATTGTGCAGAAAATAAAATTATATTTGTACCTTTTGAACTCAGAAAGTTTAGGGCAATTATTGCGTCAGTGAACTTTTGTCTTTCTAGTACCCTAAAGCATGATATATGTAGAAAAGCTGTGACTATTTTGTTACATGTGTGGTGTCTATTTCTCCCTGGTTTCTGCATCTTCCTGCCATCATTTTCAGTAAAATCAGATTTTTTTTTAATGACAGTGTTGACGTTAGCTTTCCTTTAATACTAATTAAGCAGTCAAATTTGGAGGGGGGGGGTGTTTTTTGCCTAAAAAGATATCCTGATTTTGCAATTGTGAATATTATATATCTCAGATATATGATTTATTATAGAAATATAATATTATAGGATATACAGGTTATGTGCTCTTTATTCACTGATTGCTCCTTCCTGTCACAATTGGAGTAATTTCTGATATTCTGGAAGTCTATCACCTTTTCAGGTAATTTTCATTTTAATTGTGTTATTTGAATTTTTTATTCTGATTGCTGCAACTTTGTTGGCTTTTGAAGAATTTACTTTTCTCAGATTACTTAATTTGGTGTAAAATGTCTAAAGATCCAAATTGCTAACCAGAAATTGAATAACTTTCCAGTGAATTGTTCATTATAATTAGAAACTATAATAAATGCAGGTTTTTAAAAGATGCTCATCTAAGTATTTATCCTTTATTCTATTGTGAGGTTACATCTGTTTGGAACTGTCATATGCATTTTTATAGTTGTGGTAAGGCTATTGGTTATCAATTTATTACTCATTCATATAGACATGCATTTTTTGTTCACTGCATATTTTCTGAAATAAGAAAGAATCTTAATATTTTATTTCATATTCAAAATATATTTCTATTATAAGCATAGCATTCTGGTTACACTGTAAAAACTATTAACATTCTGTGATTTGGGGGAGGATTAATTCCATTCATAAATCAATCCTGTGAATGGTTTATGTTTATATTTTCTTCAAAGCTGTTGAACTGAATTAATCACAATTTATATCTATATCTATATATGACTTTTAAATGTTCATTATGTGTAAATATACTGTATGCTGACTTTTTTAACATCTAAAATTCTGCTTAGCACTCAATATGTTGCTTATCTCACCTATGAAATATTGCCCTTAAAATCTTGTATAGTATCAGATGATATGATGTTATGTTTCTGCTGAATATTTTCCTCACTTTGTTTTATCTCAGGGGAAGGCCTTTCAGCCTCCCGCCATTCTTTACGAGCAGGTCTCTCTGCCTCAAATATTTCCCTGAAAGGAGAGAATCGTTTGTCCCTTCTTCTCAATTACCTACTTCCTGGATCTCCAACAACCTCAAGGAGTACAACCCCTTTACCTACCCCACAAAGCACTCCGCCTTCCAGTCCTAAGTGTGATTCTAAGGGAACCACAAATTTCCAGCCAATCGAGCATCAGGTGTCTCCTTCTAATGATGATATCCCTAAAGTAGTAATTCATCCACCTGAGGAAGATTTAGAAGCTCAGGAAGGCAAGAAGAGGACAGAGGAAAATAGTGACATAACACCAGGCAACTATTTGAACTCAAATTATCCATGTGTGGTGCTTTCTGCAGCTGAATCACTCCCACTGCAAAAATTTTAATCACACAGCTTTAGCACCCATAAATTGTACATCAGTCTGCTATTTGTTTGCATGCCTCATTATTTTTACGTGATATTTTCTTGGAGAACTTTATTTGGTATTTTGAAATAAATAAAAGATTTGATCCTTAATATTAACATAAATATTAATACATTGAAAGCAATTACATGTGTGAACATTTCTCCATACTTGTTTTTATTTCTTAACAAAATGTGTTCATTCAGCAAGTGCTCCTGCTTTAAAAGATAAAAAAAGTTTTTGTGTGTGTGTGTTGGATAAGTTACACATTTGTAAACTACAAAATGGTGGCCTTTTTCTCATTTTCAAAACTCCTAATTCCCATAGAGAAGATCCACTAAGAACCCAAATATCATGATCTCTGTTGTGAAATTTTTACCTAATTTCAATATTACAGTAGTATACTAGTAATTATTAATGCTATTTTGCGCATTACATGAGACTCTGAATGGGAATACAGAATATTTCATACTATGTGATACAACAATTAGATATTTAAGAGATATTTAAATAGAAAGAGAACCCTGCAGGTTCTAAAAATAAATCGTGTGATGAGCCAATTCTTGTAGTATGAATATGGACAATTCTTGCATGATGCTTCTTTCTTAGATTTCCTGTACTTTTCATACATAGATATTTGTTAGCTCCAGAGAATAATACTCTGGCTAAAATGTGACTATCTAACCATAATCATTGATTCAGTTTCAAGTTACCCTTTTCTTCATTTGCTAAGTTATATAAAACATTTTATCCTTTAGCTAAAGAAGCCTTCAGAGTAGTTTTGAAAGATGAACACTGTCCTTCTTATCATGATTATAATTAGGCTTTAAAAATCATGTAGGAATAATGAAGTAAGATAAATTGCTTACAATTGCTAAAACACAGGAAACAGTTTGTATATCTTTTGAGCAGAAATTTTTTAGGGTATGCATTTCATAATTATTACATTGCAATTATATTTCAACAAGAAATATATTTCTACACATCTACAGTGTTCTCTTTAATTGATACTGAATTATTTTTCCAATCTTTAACATACACACACCGGCATGCACACATATTGACCTATGACCAGTTGCTTGGCAGCTGTTTGAAATTATAGTGGACCTTCCTAGGATTATTGGAAAAGATAATCTGGAAAAGATAATAAAAAAACAGATCTGTAAAAATATAGAAATGAATAAAGTAATAACTAGAAGTCAGCACAGGTTTGTTAAAAATAGATCATGCCAAACCAATCTTATTTCATTCTTTGACATAGTGACTAAATTAGTAGACCAGCGAAATGCTGTGGACATAGTATACTTAGACTTCAGCAGGGCATTCAACAAGGTAGACCACAGCCTACTTCTTTGTAAGCTAAAAAAAAGTGGGATAGATAGCATCAGTATCTGATGAAATTGTAACTGGCTGACAAATTATACTCAATGAGTAGTTCTTAACAGTACTACATCTGCATGGAGGTAAGTAAGCAGTGGGGTACCACAAGGTTCTGTCTTAGGCCCAGTACTCTTCAAAAGAAAAAACAAGAAAGTCCAGTTGCCTCCTGAAACAGCTCACTTTATTTGCTTTATCTCAGGGGAAAGCCATTAAGCCCCCCACCATTCTTTATGAGCAGGTCTCTCTGCCTCAAATGCTTCTGCCTCCTGCCAACTTAGCAGTTTGAAAGCATGCAGATGCAAGTAGATAAATAGGTACCATTTTGGTGGGAAGGTAACATTATTCCGTGGGCCTTATAGCATATAGTCATGCTAGTCACATGAGCATAGAAGAGTCTTTGGACAGTGCTGGCTTTTTCATCTGAAATGGAGATGAGTACCAGCCCCTAGAGTCGGACATGACTTGACAGAGGAAACCTTTACCTTTATATGATGTTTGCAGAGATACTTTGGCATTTGTCTCTGTTTATACTAGGATACTTGGTTGCTGCATGACAAGTACTAGTTAGATCATGGTGAAACCTGCCAAGCCCATGCCCTAGGAATTGATAGGGAGACTTGATTACCAATTGTATGCCTTTAAGTGCTTGAAGTTGCATCTCTTTTACATTTCCTATGATATGTTTTATAAGGTGTAATTTAAGGTTTGTATATGTACTTGAAGTTTGATTGTGGACTTGCTATTTATTGGTAATAGACTCTCAAGCATATTAAGATGAAACCATTTACTTTCTTTTTTTACTTTTTCGTTTTTATCCTGAATGAGTTCTATCATTTGAGACATTTAATGTTTCACATTTATTTGGGCTTTGAGGTTTCTATTAACTTATGGAAAAGTATGTCCATTGCAAATATTTATTATTAGTATTATTATTATTATAAACTTTTATTCATTAAACATGAAACTCAGTCAACTGAACATTTAAAAATGTGTCACAAATACCATTGACTGGTGCTAATGACTGATATGGGTTGCTGCCAGTGTCCTAGGTATCAACCAAGTAACTTCTTAAAATATACGATGTTCTGAGTACCATAGTTTTTTGCAGTTCCACTGGTGTTATTGAAGGAAGCTGCAATTTCTTGATGTGTTTTGTAAAATTCTTGGACATGGTACCAAGTGCCCCCATGACAATGGGTATCACTGTTACATGTTTCATCCATAACTGTGTAGTTTTGATGGCCAGGTCGCGATATTTCGTGATTTTTTCCAGTTCTTTTTCTTTGACTCTGTCGTCTCCTGGTACAGTGATATCAGTAAACTATATGCTTCGGCCCTCGATAACCGTGATATCTGGCATGTTGCATTCCAAATGATGTTCTGTCTGTATTCGAAAGTCCCACAAGATCTTCACCATCTCATTTTTGGCAACTTTTTCCACTTCATGTTCCCATGACTTTTCGGATAAAGGTAGGGTGTATTTTTTATATAATGACCAGTGGATTAATTTAGCAACTTGATCATGTCTAGCTTTGTAATAAGTTTGTGCGATTTTGCTGCACTCAAATATTAAGTGTGAAACAGTTTCAACTTTGTCATTGCAAAGTTGGCAGTTTGGATTGTTGGTGGATTTTTGTATCTTCGCTTTCATGGCATTAGTTTGTAGTGCTTGTTCTTGAGCAGCAAGTATTAAACCTTCTGTTTCTTTCTTGATGGTTCCTCTTTTAAGCCATGCCCATGTAAAGTTGTTATCATATTTTCCTTCAATGTTTTTCCAAGTGCTGTCCATGCAAAGCTTTGGTTTTCCATCCATTTAATCTCTCATCCAGCTATTTTTCCTTATATTCTGCCTTTGTTTCTATTGTTTTTATAATGTTCTCTGTTTTCACAGCCTGCAGCAATCTTTCTGTACTTTGGTTCACATAATCATTCAAATTTCACATTTCTTCTTCTACAGTTTGATGGCTTTGCAGTAGCCCTTTGCCCTCTATTCTTCTTGGCAGGTACAACCTGTCTATGTCACTTCATGGATATAAAGTGTGGTACATATTCAAAATGTGTTTTCCAGTCCAAGTTTTCCACTTCAGCCACAGTCCAGTTGATGATTCCAGCTGGGTAGCGTATCACTGGAACTGCCCATGTATTAATGGCTTTAATTATGTTTCTAGCATTCAATTTTGATTTTAATATTTTGTGGACCCTCCTGATGTATTCCTTTTGTGTTAACTCTTTGACTATTCCATTCAAGATGTTATCTTCTTCCAACATGCCTAGGTATTTGTAACCAGCATCCTTTGCTAATGCTTTCACGATGCTTCCATTTCCCAGTTCTCTTCCTTCTATGTTTTCCATTTTTCCTCATTGCATGGATAGTATAGCACATTTTTTAAGACAATTATTAATTCCAATTTATAAATCCAAATTATTTTGGTTCTACTTCATTCTATCACCCTGTTTAACGACCATACAAACATACACAGAGTTTTATAATATTATGTTATATATGCTTTGATTTAAAAACAATGCTTTTTTAAATCAAAGCATCCTTTATTTATTTTTTTATTTTATTTTATTTTTTTGAATATATATCAATATCAATACCTGAACAGTGAGGCATCTGGGTATCATTCATTTGAATACAAGTAGTAATGATAGTATTATTATTATTTGTTATTTAAATCATACTTATGAAATTGTAATAATATTCTTTTACATATTTGTATTAAAATATAAGCCTTCATTATTTAATTGTTCAACATTTTAGTCCCCCATTCTAATAACAATAAGAGTATAATTAGAATCTACATAGTATCACCATCTTTCAACCCCTAATTTTATATCTATCTATTACTTTTAATATATTATATAAAAATATGCATAATAATATTCCCCCTATTTCTTATGTCTGCCTCTATTCTAGCTCCTAGTAAAGCCAATTTTGTGTTACAAAACATTTCCTCTATCCATCATCTCTTGTCCATTTTAATATTTCAATTCTTATTCATTTTTTGACTTGCCTCCCAAATTCCTCCCTTAGGTCTTCTTCTCTATCTACATCTTTCCTGTTTAATTTAAGTATTTCTTCCATCTCTACTATCTTTTGTTGCCAAACCTCCAGAGGATCTACCCAACTCTCCATTTTCTTTTCAAAGATACCTTTCTGTTTATCTAGTATCATTTTTTGGTCTTTTAGCATGTATTTTCCCTTAAGTGCTTTGTAACTTTTTATTACCTTCTCCCTCTTATCTTCTTGTTTTGTTTGTTTATTTCATTCTGCCTTTTCCCCTGGTCTCTCCATTGTCTCCTCTATTTCGTGGGCTTTTTGATCATTATTCATTATTCCTTGTGGAGCACTTTCTAACTTCCCATATATGTTATTCATTAAGTCCATTATCTCCCTGTGATTCCTTCTCATAGTATCATGAATGTTTTGAAACATCACCACCAATTCTTTTTGCAACCCACTTATTTTCCCCTGATGAAACATCTTGCCTTCTTTTTTGATAAGTCCAAATATCGCTCAGTAGTTTGTCAATGTTCTATCACTGCCCCAGAGTCTCAATTATTTTTGCCCTCAGAAAGTCGATCTGGAAACCATTTACTCAGTCCTGATGTTGCTTCTCTGGAAATACAGTAATATGGTTCTTTATGTCCCACAGTTAGTGTTAGGCCTGGAAGCCATCTTTTGCTTTGGATCTTCAGGCCTGCCACATTTAATGCTATGGGAAACTGGGAGGGCAGATTGTATGGAGCAGGGAAGATATATAGTCATATATATCTTATATATATGACTATATGTTATGTCATATATATGACATAACATATAGTCACATATATATATGACTATATCACATATATAGTCATAACATTCCTTTCTCTGAGAGTCAAGGACATCTTGCCCTGCACCTGGTGCACCTGGAGTGGTGTGCCTGGGAGGCATCTCCAGTTGGGACAGTGCATTGATTGGGCCATGTGATGAACATGTAGGTGTTGGGCAGGGACTTGAACTTTCCTGTGGATGGGGAAAACATGGAAGCTTTCAGATTTGGATTTTCCCAGATGTGCCAATATGACATCTCTAATAAAATGGAACTTTGAGGAATTCCTAGCCTCTGAGTCTTCTTTCATTGGGGGTGTTACTTGGAATCCTGACAGTTAGTCAATTTAGCTCTTTTTAGGTAATCCAGGAAATTTCCAAATGTCTCCTTAAGTCCCCGCTATAAGTTCAATCATAACTCCTGATATTTAAAAGTCATTTTATTTAGATGTCTTCTGTATTTTCAACATTAGAGCTCCTGTAGTCATGGAATAGATAAGACAATAGATAGCACAGCAGTCCTCCAGGTATTATTTCCACTTTCTCCTCTGTCTTATCAGTATTTTTCTCAGGTTTGTAGAAATATAATGTATTCCATTCACCAGTAGATGGCACCTTCCATTTAATTTCAACGTTGCATAGATTCTAACAAGTTCTGTTTATATTTATTCAAACAAATAATCAAAATTCTGAAAAGTCACTCCAGCATTTTAAATTGCCTTATTGCCAATAAAAATTAGAGATCCAATCTTTCTGTGTTTTTAAAGATTGCACTCTCTTCTTAATATCTTTTTCTTTTCTTTTGGATCTACGATTTTCTCTCTGTAATTATTTGCTGCTTAAACAAACTCTTCAAAAGGTCCCTTTTCCAGAGTTTATTTTCTTTAGGGTATGTTTCAGGTAAAAAAAAAAAAAAAAAGTCACCTCACCCAGTTCCAGTCACTGTTCATCCATACCATTCCAGAACAGTCTTTGTTTCTTTGGCTGCCCCAGCTTCATGGCAGCCATAATGGGTGCCTCTCCTCTTTGTTGTCGGATGAGAGGCAATTAGCCCTGGATCAAGCAGAAGAGCCACCGCTCTCCACGACCTGCAGGGCACCCCTACAGGGTGACTTTAGCTCCTTATGGGGCCCTCAAATGAAGGGATTTGGTGCAAGTTTGCGGAGCCACACTTTTCATGTCAGATAGCACTACGACATCAACTGGAAGTTGAAATCATCCTTTATTTATGAGGCTGTCATTCTGCTTCTGGAATTTACAATTTGCAATTTTTAAAAAATTACCTGTGTTTATTTTGTAATTAAAAATTATGACCTTGATTCTCCTGAGCATATTTTGCTGAAAATATTCTATAAATCTTTGGCACTCTATCTCTTTTTCTTTCCCTCTGTTTCTGTCTTTCTCCCTCTGTCTCTCTCTTTTTCTCCCTCTTTCTCTCTCTTTCTTCCTGTCTCTGATGTGGATCTTGTGTTGATTGAGCACTCTAGTACACACCAGCATCAATGCTTAGCTGACCTTACTGATCTTAAAGTTGATTTCTTTCTCTAAAGATTCATCAATCAAGATGATGTTTCCTAAGTATTTGAAGTTGTTTACATTTGTCAGCTAGGTGTCATCAACAGTGATTTTTGGTTCTATTGGTTTAGTATTTGGCATGGGCTGGTGAAGTATTTCAATTTTTCAGTTCAGGCTTATAATCAGGCCAAATAGCATAGCAGCTTCAGAGAATTTGTTCAACATCAGCTGTAGATTGTGGTCTTGTGTGCCAACTATCAAAATAAAAATTTCACTTTTTAAGTGATTCTGAATCACTTTTTAAGTGATTCTGAAATGACCAAATCATTTAAAGCCAGTATGAAAAATAGGAAAAGTAAAAATTTTTAACTATCCGTTAGAAACTGAACTACAAAAGGAAATTTACATGTGTCTAAGGAAGAACGTCAATGACCTATTACAGGTAGTTCTTGACTTACAACAATTAATTTACAGCAGTTCAAAGTTACAATAGCAGTGACTTATGACCGCTACAATTTCATCACAGTTACAACCTTTGCAGCATCTCCATGATCATGTGATCAAAATTCAGATACTTGGCAACTGGTTCATATCTATGACTGTTGCTGTGTCCCAAGGTCATATGACTCCTTTTTGCAACCTTCTGATAAGCAAAATCAATGGGAAAGACAGATTTACTTAACAACTGATATACTAACTAACTGCAGTGATTCACTTAACAACTGAGGCAAGAAAGGTCTAAAATGGGACAAAACTCACTTAACAAATGTCTTACTTAACAACAGAGATTTTGGGCTCAATTGTGGTTGTAAGTCAAGTACTACATGTACTAGAAAACTAATTTCTTGCTTTTCTTAAGAGTGTTAATTGTAGTGGCATGAAATATATATTTTAATATCCTGCCTTTTATAGATATGTTTGTTATGTTATGTTAACAAACAAACATAATAGCTGTTTGTTTGTTATGTTAACAAACAGCTATTACCTAGAAATGGGTTTGAAAATAGGGCATTCATAAAGTAATAGTATACCAACTATTAAATTATTGGCCTTAGTCAAACTTGTAGTACTGTACAAGGTGAAGTTTATTTTAGTAATCTGAATGTGATGGAATTAAAATGCTTATGAGCATTGATAAATTCTTTTCCAGATCAGTTGCTATTTTTTTGACTTGTTAGATAATATCTCATATTTCTTTTAAGAGGTCAAAGCAGCATTACAAAGTTATTACAGAATTTCAGAAGATTCTGTTCTATCTGTGCTGTAATTCATTTATCAAGAATGATCAAAGTTATTAGCTCTAAAATCAAGTCAGAAACACACTGAAGTAGATAGCTGAGAATGTTTATATTTATTTAATACTTTTAAAGAGGGTATATACTATGGGGGTACTTGCTCTTTCTCTGTCTGGATATGTGAGCATTCTCTGAGCTATTGACACTGGTCCAGACATCCAGCATTTGGGGGGAGGGGTGTCTCCTGGATCTATTCAAGCAGAACAAGTACTATTAACAATAGGAGCCAGACTAAAATGCAGTCTAACAGGAGGGGATCAGATAAATTCATTTACTTTTTTAGGAGGTCATGATACCACAAAGTTTTAGACTCCCTAATATATACAGTTCATCCCTCAAAATTATATATGTTCATATTACATATTGCCTTCTGCTAGGTTTGCATCTCCTCGGCATGCTTTTTTATTATTTTTATTATGGGCCTTTAGATATTGAACTGTATTTCTTATATCTACCATTGGCCATGCTGGCCACAGCAGCTGAGTAATATATGGAAAACTACAGATTTCCTACTCCTATTTTAAATGATAAAAAGTTTGTCATGTTTCTCATTCTGATGTGTAAAACAATTACGTCATGGATCTCTGTTACACAAAATTGATATATTGAATACAATGAATATTTTTTCTCATGAAGATTAACCTACAGTTTGCTTTCCTAAACATGTCCAAAAACTGATATTTGGCTAGAATGTTACAGTCCAGTGGAGAAACAGAACATTTTGGTATCCTCTGCAACATTCTGCTTCCAGAATAATGTACATATCTATTATTTTCCTACTTTGGCCATGAAAGCCAGCTGGGCTTTCTCTCTCTAGGCCCAACTCACCATACAGGGTTGCTGTTGTGGGAAAATAAGAGGAAGATGTGTGGGATATGTTCTCGGCATTGAGTTATTTATAAAAATAGGAAAGGCAGGATACAAATAAGTAAAACTAAAATAAAAAGTAAGCAACCATTTAAAATTGAATTTTATTATTTCTTATGTTCATAAGAATAAATTTCATATATATATATATATGAAAATTTATATGACCACCCACTCACTTTCCATGACTCTAGGTGGCTTACAAAATATAAAACACTAATATACAGAGTAAAACAATAACCTCCACCCCTAATTCAAACTTTACTTAGAAATAAATGAATTCATGGCTCAGATCCTACTTTTAAAAGTTTCTTGCTTTAGGGCTGCACTAATGGTTGTTTACTAACTTTCTAATGGTTCACTGTGATATAGGATTTATTTAAGCATTCTAAAGTACATTTTTCTTTATTTCGTGATTGTTCCAGGGAACTCCAGTAAAATAACAACATTCTTGTAATTGCATGATCCACATTGGTGGTTAGATGCACATTTTAAAATTTAAAAATAATACCTTTTTGGTGAATTTTGCAAAAGGCCATCATTTAGGTAATAGCTAATTTTAACACTTAAGCTTTCATTGTTTTCGAGAAAAAATAACTTGTTTGGCAATTTTGGTACTAATGCACTTTTTATTTATTAACTTTCACATTTGCTTTTAGAAAGCTGCCACAATTGTTATGTAAGCATGCCTATTTCTAGGTAATGTTATTTTAAATATGCTTCTTTATTCTAATTTTAGGGCTCTTAGCATCACCACAATCTGCACCTGGTAATTTGGATATTGGAAAAAATGGAGAATTTAAAATTAGTGGAACAGGAGGGAGTAGAGAAAACAGTACGGTTGACTTCAGCAAGGTAAAGTTTTTAAGCTTTTAAAGGAACACACAGCTTTGTGCATTTTATGGAAGCTTGCTTTTTTCTTCAAAATATAGTTGTTTGCACTTGTATTGTATAATCTAATCTCTAAAACAAAGTTCTAGAATAAATTAGTAGCAACTACAGGTATGTTTTAGTAATTACCTGAAAATAGAATATCAGTTACAGACACTTTGGTATAATGCTTAAAAACAAAAGAAATCAGGGGATTAAGTTCTAGTTCCACTTTAAGAATGAAGCCACCTGGTAATCAGTTCAAAACATTTCTGAAAATATTGCTAAGAAAACTTCAAGAGTTTGTCCAGGTAAATCACCAATGTTCAAGGTTGACATTTATTTGTATATACATTCATAGGCTATGTCACTTTTGTTGTTAAGTTATGTTATGTTACGTTACGTTACGTTACGTTACGTTACGTTACGTTACGTTATGTTATGTTACGTTACGCTACACTATGCTACGCTATGCTATTCTATGCTATGTTCATTACGTTATGTTATTTATCACATGATAAATTCTACGTAATTGCTTAAACATGTCATTTTATTTTACACATTGTAAGTTGAGAGTCTCCTGAGTATAGTGGAATATGTGAAAAAGGAAAGAGAATGGAGAGGAAGGTGGAGTCAGGGTTAAGTTGGTGAGTGGAAGATTCCAAACAGATGTGGTTGACTTACTAGAATGGGACAGTAGTAATATAGAGAAGAATCCACCTCTATGATAACTAGACATGAGGCAGTCTCTAATATTCCTCTTCAAAGAGAATAGCAGTGTGAAAAAAGACCTGAAGTCTGACTAGGTAGAAATTTTGAATTAGCATTCAGTGTACTCTGAGCAGTCTACCGCCAACCATGGAAGCTCAGTGGGTGATTTTTAATCAATTATACACTTTCAACCAAACCTATCTCTCAAAGTTGTTTAGGAGAAAATAATGGAAGGAGTGCTAGCATATTATCTTAAGGCCTTAAGCAGGAGCTGGATATATCACAGATAAATTGATAAAATGGTTATGTGGCACTTCATAAAAGCTGTAGTCTAAAATTGTAAAAGGTTGTAAATGTCAAGATAATTTGTTATTTTAATAATATTTCATTTATTGTTGTTATTGTTCAGTAGCCATAATAGTTAAAGGCGACAGCAAACACACAACTCATCTTGCACAATTGAGGTTTACTATCTTTTCTTTTATGTTGCAGCTTCCTTTTTTTCCTGATTATCATGTGAAGGCCATAATTAGGGTGGCAACAAATGCAAATTGAGACATATTGTAGAAATGTATCCATGAATCTTGTGCTATCGTTGTTGTTATTGATTAAATATGTATGCCACCAAATCATCCAAATTCATGGTGACTTAACACAACATTATTATAAAATATTTATAAGAATAAATCACAATCCCACCTAATTTGCACATTATTAATTTAAACTATTCCTATCAGATTTCTTAAGATTTCCAGGTTAAAACACTTTTCAATGTTTTTTCAAATATTCAGTACTGCTGTTAATAATTAGCGTTAGTAAAGTTATTTTCTATTTTAAAGATTCATTATGTGTATATGTATTTTAGTTCCTAGAGCAGGGTTGTTAAACTCGCAGCCCGTGGCCCAGATGCTTCACACACTGGCCATGCCCATGCCCCGTTTAGTGAAGGGGGAAAAAAGTTGTGATACGTCACATGATGATGCTGTAAAGATGTGAGTTTGACACCCCTGTACTAGAGCAATACATTTATGACTTGTCCAGTCATATTCTGATGCATAATAAAATTGTTATTTTATAGATAGTCCTCAAATTATGACTGTAATAGAGTCTGCCCATCACAGTTGTAAAATGTTGCAGTCATTAAGCAAGGCACCAATGTGATCGCCTTCCTCAATAGTCACTGTCCTGGCCATCTCAAATGTGGCTCCTAAGCAATTGCATAGGTACTGTAGGTTGAGCAGAGTGAAAGAGCTGCTTGCTGAAAAAGAGTAGGCAGCTGCTCTACTCCTTAGCATGAGCTACAAAATTAGAAGATCTTTTTCTCCTGTCTGGAACAGGACAGAGAGAAGGTGCACTGTGCAGAAAAGCAAAGCTGTCCCAGCTTCACTTCTCCTTGCAGCATGTTGTTGCCCTGCTGGCTCTGGACTAGAGAAAAAGAGAAAGAGAAAAGCAGCTTGTGACCTAACCCTGTCAACTTCTCTGTTGACTTGTAATTGATGATCACATGATTGCAGACGGCTTGGTAACCAATTGTAAATGGGTTGTCAAGGGCCCAGATCACAATTGCATGGCCCATAACAGCACTGGTTGAATGTCCATCCATTCATTGTTATGTCAAACAGTTGCTGAATGAATATTTGTAAGTCAAGGACTACCTGCATATGTTTCTGTTATAGGCTTTTTCTTCAGTGTAGTGGGCTATAAGATTTATAGAAGAGTCCTTATCATATCATTGAAACTCTGCTGTAGCATAGACGCAAACCATTTTAGATGTAAATACAGAATCCTGAATGGAGTACCTCAGCTAACATTGTCACTTCCAGGTATAATATGAATAAAGTGCATTTAGAACTATAAGTGGGGTAGAACGTCTGAGTTTAAATGAATAGACTATTGTAGGTTGAAGGCCCAAGTACAGAGTTTAAACCTGTATGTTTCCCTTTTTATTGAATAATCTACACAGAATTGCTTCTTTTAGTGCCGGGGTCACCAACCCCTGGGCCACGGACCAGTACTGGTCTGTGGCCTGTTAGGAACTGGGCCGCACAGCTGGAAGTGAATAACAGGCGAGTAAGCAAAACTGAAACCATCTCCCCTTGTCCATGGAAAAAATTGTTTTCAAGAAACTGGTTCCTGGTACCATAAAAGTTGGGGACCTCTGCTTTAGTGTAAAGAATGCTTGTAATGAAGTTATTATTTGTATAATTTATAATATAGTATTTCTCCTTTCAATATTTTGGTTCCAATATATAATTCAGGAAAATGATGTAATTTTGCTTAAAAGTTCTCTTAACAAAACAAATTTATATAATAGTTTAACCATGGCAAATGCCACTATTCTAGCTTCTCTGTCACAGCTTTTATATTTTTACTTGGCCTGTTCTTCTCTGCACCTGCCTTGTCTCCTGTTGGGCAGGATTCTGCCTCCTGGCACTGTAGTTGTGGCACACTTGGTGTGGGACTCAAAAGGCCAGCTGTAAGTGTTTTTTTTTTCTAGATAGCTGTGTAACTGGTGTGTTAGTTTCAGTGATTTTTGTGTTTCTGTCTTTATGTGACCAATAGTTTGTATGATGCTATATATTATGTTGGTGAATTTTTATAATTATATACACAGTTCCCATGGGTAATTTGAAGAACATTATTGTATAAAGAATTAATTCTCCATAAATATTCTTTTTTAGATTGAATTTATAAAATGAAGCAATTGTGTATATAATTACATTGATTTAGTGGAATTTGTAGTTATTTAGTATAAAACCATGTTATTCCCAAGATATAATTTTAGTAAGTTTTTGTGATTGTATATTGTAACATAGTTATAAAACACAGTATTTGTACGTATGTTAAAATGTTATTCAACTTCATAACATACATCACACTTTAATAATACAGTATATTTTGCTTGTCACTTATTTATAAATGTCAGTTTCAAAATGTTTTAGAATATTTTAATATACTATTAACTATTCTTTGAAAATAGGTGGATATGAACTTTATGAGGAAGATTCCAATAGGTGCAGAGGCATCAAATGTGCTTGTTGGAGAAGTGGATTTTTTGGAGAGACCAATTATTGCTTTTGTGAGGCTGTCTCCAGCTGTGCTTCTCACTGGTCTCACAGAGGTTCCTGTTCCTACACGGTAAAATAAAAATATAATGTAGTAAAACTTTAATTCTCTGTATTATTTTTAATCTATGTTATGTGATTCAACAATTTTTTTTCTTCTTAGAAAGAAAAAAGAGGCTGCTGTCTCTTTGTTATGAATTTATCATGCTGGTTTAAAATCTTGTATGCAGATTTTATCTTATGGTGGTTTAAAATCTCTTTAACTTCATAGTTCATACTTACAATACTTAAGTTTCCTTTAGTGGCAAGTATGGTAATAGTGGTTGTAGTATTTCGTATGGCATAACAGAATACAGCATAATGTGTAAACATTTACCAATACAACATATAAAATGTGTATCAAAATATAAAACATCAGAGCAGTGAATCATTTAAAAACACAAGTGATGAATAAAATTATGAATAACATTAAATTATGTCTAAGCAAATACTGGGGTGGCTATTCCTACAGCTGGAATACAACTCATAGAATTTCTAGTTGTTGTTGTTATATGTGTGATATTCAATAGTAAAATTTCTATTTGTCATTGACAGATATTATTGAATTCCAGCTATAATATTTGACCTTGCAACCCTTTTTCATAATTCCACAGTTTCCTTTTTCTGTTGCTGGGACCAGCAGGTAAAGCACCTCAGTATCATGAAATTGGTCGATCAATAGCAACACTCATGACTGATGATGTGAGTACTGCCATTTATTACATACCCCCAAAAATATTTAAAATAGACTGGAGTCAATATTGACTTAAATTTATAATGGTAAAATACAATATATCATCTTATGCACAAATATTTATAGGTACATATTCATAAGTGCATATATATTATGCCTTTCCCTAGCAAGTTGAGAGATGAGGTGCTATCTACAGGACTGTGTTTCTCCATTTCAGTTAGTTCAACTTCATTGTTGGTATTCGGAGAAGCAGCTGGATATCCCTCAGTTTTGGGAAGTTAGAGAAGTCAAAGTCCAGAAGTGTTGGTTCTCCATGATGGGGCCAATCCTCTGGAATGGCTTCCTGCATGAAGTTGGATTACCTCCGATGTTATTCATGCTCTAAAAGCAATTTAAGATGAAGTTGTTTGTGGCATTTGGGTGTTGATGTTTGGTTTTGTGTTGGATTGTATGTGTTTTATGGTGATGTTATTTTCTTTTCATTAGCTAGATAGAGTCCATGTGATTTCAGTGTGATATGAATTTGATCAATAAAAATAAATTTCCTTTGACTGAAACTATGTTTTATTCCTAAAGTGCAGAAGGAAATAATAATTAATAAGCTAAATAAATTAAAAGAATATAATAAGAAAAGAAATTGAACTATACAGATTGTCCTCAACTTATGACAATTGAGCCCAAAATTTCTGTTGCTAAGTGAGACAGTTGTTGAGTGAATTTTGCCCCATTTTATGACCTTTCTTGCCATTTTTGTTAAGTGAATCAATGTAGTTGTTAAGTTAGTAACACATTTGTTAAGTGAATCTGGCTTCCCCATTGACGTTGCTTGTTAGAAGGTCATAAAAGGTTATCACATGATCCTGATACACTGCAACCATCATAAATATGAGTCAATTGCTGAGGATCTGAATTTTGATCTCATGATCATGGGGATGCTGCAATGATCATAAGTGTGATAAATGGTCATAAGTCACTTTTTTCAGTGCCTTATGTTAGTTTTGTTATGTTAGTTATGTTAGCTTTTTTCAGTGTTATAACTTTGAACAGTCACAAAATTGATTGTTGTAAGTTGAGGACTACCAGTATGTAGTTTATACCAATGCTGTTCTTCATATCTATCCATATCTTTGTCCTTATTAACTAACCTTGTTTCTATAACATCCATGAACTTCTTTGTACATTGTCCTTTTTCTTTTGTTTTTAGTCTTCCCTTTCATTTAACTCATTCATTTTTATTGTTTTGCTTTGCAATGTATATAATTTGACTATATGCCCAAATCACTTTGAAGTATCTTCTTCTAGTAATTTTCATTTCATATTCAGTGCATTGTTCAATATTCATTAATTCTTACCTTATCCTACTTTGTTTATCACACACAGGTTTTAAATGCCTTATACTGTATATAAATGAGCAGAAGCATGCTATAATGAATTTTCCTTTTTTTGACAAGTATTTATTCTTGCAAGATAACAAATTACTATCCATTACTTTTCTACTAGCAGATCTGAACAATTCTCCATCAGTTATCCTATTTTTAGTGAACTTTCTGCTAAGGTACCCAAATCTACTTGCTCCAGTTTTGCCTTTATAACTTGCCTTTGTTCCTCCATTTTCCCAGTAAAACACAACTACTTTGGTCTTTGGATTTGAACAGTAATCTATCATACTTGTAATTGTATTATTTTTATTTATTCTTTATTAAAATTCATTTATTAAAAAAACTTCCCAATACCTGAAGGTCTCTGGGTAATATAAAGTAAAACACACACAAAATGTAAGCTGAATGTATATACTATAAAATTCTTGTTCCTGTAACCTTTAACTGGGTGAAACAGTTCATCACAGGGTAACAATTTTTGAACCAAGGTACCTCAAATGGGTTAACTTACTTAATGTACCCAAAATGTGGAATCTATGAGACCTATTAAAATTGAAATTTGGCTAATTTTCTAAAACATTTTATGAAGTAAATGTTATCATAAAACAGTTTATGAAATAATACAAAATATCATAAAATGTTTCCTGTGCTGACATTTGAGTGCGCTATACGGTTCAACATGGATGATTTTAAGGCAGATACATCTCTGAATGTATCCCATCATTTCCAGTGAAGGCAATACACTAGAGGTTATCATTGTTGAAGGCATTGAAGTATATGGTAAGGAAATATCTCCTAAAGGTCTAACAGATCAGAGGTTATCTAGTGAAAATATACAGATAACTTCAGAAGTAGTATAAAAATAAAAATATCATATGAATTAGGAGTAGCGCTAGTCTAATGAAACCAATGAAAAGTTACAATTATGTTAATTTTAAAGTTAATAATAGTGTGTTAATTTAAAAGTTAACTATAATGTGTTTTTATTTGTATCTAACCATTTTTATATTAAGCTTACAGGATTTTTTTAAAAATTATTTTTAAGTGAGGTTAACCAGTAAGTACTATTTGTACAATCTTTAAATAGTAATCTCTTTCATGGAATGAGATGGGTATATCGGGGACTATAAAACATTGTCATTTAATTTGGCAGCAACAACCTGTTTTTTACTGTTTAGTATTTAATCCAGTTTTGAGGCTGATTCCTCAATGGATATAGGTGGTTTCCAAACAAATTAACATGTAATTGTGATCTCTCATTTGGATTACTAAATGTCTCTGCAGGGGGGCTGCTGTTGAAGAAAGCTTCAGCTGGTTCAAAATGTGGCAGTCTAGACAGTTAATTGTGCCAGTTATTCAGCATGTGTTACACTACTGCTGTATTGGCTGCCAGTTTGTTTCTAGTGTAATTCAACGTGGTAGTAGTTTTACGTTCATGGTTTGGGGCCAGTTTACCTATGGCACCATCTCTTTCTAGTTGTTTCTGTCTTTTTTAACCAATCCGGAAGAAAGGTCCATTGTCCCTCCCTCACTTCCTTGTACACCTTCCCCAAGCCTTGCTGCACCTACCGGTACCTAAATATGAAATTGTTATATTATTTTGTTTTGTAACAATGCCCAACAAAGTTCATCCTTTTTTAAAAAAAGATTCTTCATTAGTGATAATGAATACCTTTATAGTATAATACCTTTATAGTAATATATATACCTTTATAGTGCTATAGCAAACTGGCCATTACTAACAATTATAAGAGATTATGAAAGTTGTTCAGAATGTGTGGAATATGCCAAATAAGTTGTCACAGTGTTGTTGGATTATTTATTGCCTGTACATTTCATATTATTTGCAAGTACCGGCAACAGACCGGCAACTGTGTTTTAGAAACAATATTAACAAAATTTGGTTTTAAAAATTAATTCCAGGATGTTTTTTCTTTGAGATCTGCATAGATTATAGATTCTTCCTTTAGGCTTTTAAATCTATAGCAGTTGATAAATTGTTGAAGACAATATGAAACTTATTTCATATAATCTAGCTTCTGAAAATAGTTATCCAATAATAATTATTGTTATAACTAAATTATCAAATTAGTATCTAGTTGGCCATTTAAATCCTGTTTGGTCCATCTAGTTGCCCTCCAGGAAAGTAGATTTCACTTACCAAAATCTCCTTACTAATGTGTCTCTTGTTGATAATTCTGCAAGTGGATATCCACATCTCTTTCAGAAAACCTAATGTATGCATAACTTAATATTTTAATGGAGGTGTGTTAAACTAATTCTTCATTCTGATCTTTCAACTATATAAGCCATATTTTGTACTTCTTAGTAAAAAGTTATGTCAAGAAATCAAATACATACTTATATGCCTTTTTTAAAAGGTTTTCCATGATGTTGCTTATAAAGCCAAAGACAGAAATGATCTACTATCTGGAATTGATGAATTTTTAGATCAAGTGACTGTTCTTCCCCCAGGCGAATGGGATCCTTCAATAAGAATTGAACCACCCAAGAGCGTCCCTTCTCAGGTAGGTTCCTCTGCAAATGAAGAGTCCTTTAAAATGGATAATGATATGGTAAGTGTGATCAAGATTGTATCACAAATCTGAAAAATAAATTTGCAATGAAGTAACAAATTGATGAAAGATTAGATCAAATCCATATAATTGTTTTTATCTTATAAAAAGATTCAAAAGAAAAAAGAAAAAAGGAAAAAAGGAAAGGATAGAAATTATTTTACAGCTTTTAGATAATTTATTGAACAGCAGTGGCTATCACATTCAATATGTGACATATCTACAGTTTGATATAAACGTCACTACACCTAACAGACAAATAGTCTAGTTACAATTGATTTAAACAAGTTATTATTAATGCAGTATTGTGTTAATTATTGGAAATTATTTCTGAGTTGAGAGTTAATATTATATTAGCCTTTTAAAAAGCCAACTCTGGTTTGGAACAATGCTATATTATATAGTTAGCTTGGAAGATTAATATAGATGTGAAGAAGGCTTGAAATTATGCCTCTTGTTGAAGTATGACTTTGAGAGTGAATATAGTGCAATAGCTAAAATGTTAGACTAGAAATGGAGAGATGCAGATTCTAGTTTTCCTTGGGTCATTGACAGTGGGCTAGTAATTTCTTCTGACCCTCAATTATTGTCAGACCTGGGACAAGCTGGCTGGAAAACAAAACCTTTCCTCAGATCATATATAGCTTTGCTATATTAACTAAGTAAAACAAGCAGACCCTGCTACCAAGGGACAAATACTAAGAATAATAACTTTATCAAGATTTAAAGGCAAAAATCATTTAACAAATTAATATTAATATAGGAGAAGAGGAAGATTCCTAAATTTCCAAATGGAGCTGCTTCTCCTGGAGAACCCCTTAAGGAAGAAGGTCATCATGCTGGACCTGAACTACAAAGAACTGGAAGGTGTGTAGAATTTACTTCAATTATAATAACATCAGTGTGAAAATCTAAATTATTGCTGCTTTAAAAATTTATAAAATGTCATGGATTAAAATTTCTACATAAATATGTTTGATTCCTAGCTAATGGTCTATTTTAGTCTCTTAATACAGTAGAACTATTCTTTAGTAGATTCTAGGGACTATAGTGAAGTTTTAATACAACATCTGAAACCATATTATGAAGATAAAAATAGTTTAAAGTCAAAAATTGCCTGTGTGAAGCTAGCTATTCAAAATATTGCAGTAAAGAGCAATTATAGAAATTTCTCACATGTGAAAATTATACAGATGTCCTGTAGGCTCCCAGTCTTGGCAATTACAACTGAAAAAATCATTTAAGAAGGATAATATCTTTGTTAAGTTAAATTATACTGAAATGTCTTCATATGGAAAATCCTTGTGAAGATATGGTTACCTAAAATTTAAAGATAGGCTATATTTTAATTAAATACAATTATTAAAGGAGAGATAACACTGACAAATGGAAGATTTTAAATTTCAATTTCTTTCAAAAGTTGTTCATCTTCCTTAAGATGAATACCTGTTTTGTTTTGTTTTGTTTTGTTTTCATTCTCAACTGTAATAAAAATAATGGGCATTGTAACTCAGCTTTTTTAAAAATTAAATTGGTTTTTTTCACAGAATACTTTTTAATCACATTTTTTTCAATATCTTATAAACAATGAAATAATGCTGTCAAATACTTGCAGCTAGCTCCCTATTTCTTTAAAAATGTAGATAATATTAAATATCACAATTGTATGTAAGTCTATTTTAAAATTACTCAAGGCATATATTATTATTCGCCACAACCATGTACATGCACAAAACTTGATACTGAATGCAGAAGCTGATGCCCTGAAAATGTTTTCATTTAAGACAAGCCCCAGAGACTAACAATGGATACTTTACCATTAAAATGCATAAATCAGAAGATCAGTTCACTCAACTGAGAATGTATAGATGAAATTGGAATGTTTGCATCTGTATTGTCAATAGGTTTGGAATATAAGGCTAATTTATGCTAAAAATCTGCACTGTCAGTCTTGTGTGTCCCATAGTTTTAAACATTCTGGAGTCCTATAGAGTACAGTTTGATGAGTTTCATCTCACCTATTTAGGCTTTTTGGTGGTTTGATACTTGACATCAAAAGGAAAACATCTTTTTTCTTGAGTGACTTCAAGGATGCATTAAGTCTGCAGTGTCTGGCCTCGATTCTTTTCCTATACTGTGCCTGTATGTCTCCTGTAATCACTTTTGGAGGGCTCCTTGGAGAAGCTACAGAAGGCAGAATAGTGAGTACAAAGAATGGTAGTAGCCAGGATTTTAGCTTTTCAGAGGCAAGTGACTGTGTTCATTTGTCTCCTTTATTTCTACTTTTATTTGAAGACTTTTATCAACCTCCTTTTGACTAGCCCTGCCTAATAATACATGTTTCTCAAATATGTGGAAAAAATGGAGAACAGGAGGAGATGCACAGTTAAGGTAAAAATTATCCTGCCTTGATGAATCTGTTACATGGTCCGAGAAACAACTTTTATTGTATGTTTTTAAAGGGCCTTAACTTAGTAATGGAAAAATATTTGTTACATCTTCATAATATATTCAAGAATGCTAATTCAGAGATCTTGTTTGTTTTGTAAAATAATAAAATGAAAAAATATGTTTTTAAAATGTTTTGTAAATAAAAATTCAGCATTCTGCACTAAACTAAATGGCATGCACACATGCATGTAACAAAATTCAAATTAATTTTTTTGTTAGAGAAAAGCTGTTTCCAAAAGTGATATGCCAAGAAAAGAATTATTTATCTTTATCATAATTTCTCTATCATATTTCATTTGGTGTGAAAACCATTTACCACTATCTTTCCTTCCCCATCTACCCAAGTCCAGGCTTGAATATTCCTGGGGATATAGCAGTAGAGAAAAGATGGCAGAAAAATGGTAAAACATCTTTTCTTACTGGTCCTCCAAACAGAATACCGGTAATTCTCTAAAATCTGCTTTTCTCCAGAAGAAATACTTGGATTTGAATGCATGTATGCAACACCTAGTTTGGTTTAAAAATATTTGTTTTCTATTGCCAGAGGAAAACTATATTTCTAAGGAAAACTTGAATGTGAACTCTTAAGAAGTTGGTCAACTATTATATTTTCATGATAAGTTCAAGTATATCAGCCATAATAACAGTTGGTTTATCCTAGCTTTCAAATTAATGACTTAATTAATTAACTGATTTTATACATTAATAGAATCACTAAATATAAGTTACTTGTTCTCAGCATTTTAGTTTGTAACTGGCACTTATGAAACTACTTTCTGAAGGTGTTATGGCATATAATATGCCAGTGCAAATGTATTCTTCCATGCACAGGATGGAAAACCTATGGCTTGTGAATCATATACTCTCCTGAACTGCATTTTTGTCATCTCTAGAACAATCTCAGTTTGCTTTGATGAAATTTGTCATCCATACAACAGAGCTATGCCTGTAGGACTTTTCACATTTGGGGACCAAAATAAATGACCCTTACTTATGATCAACCTCCATATGGCTTAATTAACACATTTGCTTAATGGATACACCCCAAATTCACAAAGAGGATATAAAACTTGTCTCAATTCATTACATTATTCCCATGCCCCACCCTGCAGTTTTTGAAATGGATAGCTTTTATAAATAAAAAAGCATACTCCCCTTCTTACAAAATAAAAATGTGTGCTTGTAGTCCTTAAACCTATTTACATATATATTGAAAAGTTAACTTTACTGTATAGGACAATATCAGTACTTTGAATTTTACTAAATTTGTTATATACTTGGACACCTTTAGATGTATATATTATATTATCGTGGTTTGAAAAACACACAAAAACGTCTCCCTACTATTTCCTTAGAGAGTGCTAGTTTTCTATACTACAATATGATCTGATAATATGATGTCCAATGTCTATGATTACCATACGTTGCTTACTACCGATAGCTAAAAAGATGCTATTTAGCACTATTTTGGTGCTAAAATAGTAGTTTTAACTCTATGTCATCAAGCTGCTAACTTTTAAAATGTCCATTTTTAATGTACATTGAAAAATACCTGATACTTTATTTTCTAGTTGTCTGGAGTTGTTCGCTGCCTTTACTGGCTTGATGTGCATGAGTACAAGTGCAAATCTTGCACTTTTGTGTTTAAACAAATAACTTAAATCTTAATAATAACCTTAATAACCTAAGATTAATAATAATCTTAATAACCTAAGAAACATGTTTGAGTACATGTGATTTTTTTTCATATCTCCAAAGCTGTCATTTCTACAGTATATTTGTTCTGAATACCTAAGGTTAATGCACTGATCAGCTCAGACTAAATTGTGTGTACCTTTGAAGTATGATTGTATACGCTAAGGGCTGGTTGTGCTCCAATCCCACTGTTGTTTATGTATGCTCTAATCCCACTGTTGTTTATGTATCTGTGATGATTGATTATTTTAGTGTATACAGTATCAATTTATATTTGCCCAGAAAATGTCTTTGTTGATCTTAAATACTATGCAGTGAATTCAAAGTAATTAAAAGTGAGGTTGTTTGGATATTTTAAATTTGGTATTTTAAAATACAAAGAAATATAATTTTAAGTCCTCCCATTCCCTGGGAATGCCTTATATAGAAAATAAAAGGTGAGATAGTTGCTGGGCATTTATGGACACTGTAACGGAGAAAATGCATTACTGAACAGGATGATAACTATTTGATCTGTTTATAATTTCTATTGTCTGTTTATTTCTTTTCAATAATAGTATCCTCATTGCTCTGTTGCATTCAGTAAATTTTTGAGTTCTATGAATTGTTTGTTTTAATACAAGCCTCGTGCCCAGTTTGGCTAAAGGTTTGTTTCAAACATGCTTTCTTTATACAGGAAAAGTTATCCTTGTTTTCCTACTTTAATCAGATTTGGTATGTTACAAGTATTATAACATCCATTTTGTCATTTAATTTGCCAAAACAAATAATCTTTCCTTAGGTTTTTGTATAAATTTACACTTTAATTGGACTATTTCATATTGCACACTTTATTACTAATTTTCTATGTAAAATAAAATGTATTTAGCTAATAATATTTGTAATATTCTAACTATTGATGCTATTAACTAATATATGAAAATACACATTATTAAATGTTTAGTTTTATCTTCAGTGAATCACAGGATTCTTTTTCCCTCCCTCCAGAGTGCAATAGAATCTTTATTTGGAGCATCATTAACTGGAGTTGCCTATTCACTTTTTTCTGGGCAACCTTTGACAATATTGGGCAGCACTGGACCAGTACTAGTATTTGAAAAAATATTGTTTAAATTTTGCAAGTAAGTAAATTTTTCATTCTCAAAAATTCAACATTCTATTAGCTATTAGTTTTTCTGAGGCACACTGAAGTATAGTAGTTTCAAACAGATCTAATATTTGCATAACTTAATTTAGCAAGAAATCAAAATTTTGTTTTCAGGCTTGCATCATCAAACACTTTTAGAATTGTCACTAAGGTCAAATAAGGAAAGCATTCTAGAACAAAGCTAATTCATCATTTCAAATTAATTTTTGATTAGCCAGGAATGAAATTACAAATTATCTTCTTCATCTCAACTTATTAGCAAATCTTTAAGTAACTTATCCTGATACAATTTTTATTATTATTGTTATTTTATTAAATTTGTATACCGCCCTACTCCCGAAGGACTCAGGGCGGTGAACAGCCATAGAATAAAACATATAAATACAAAATTTAAAATGGAAATAAAACAAATTAAACAATTTCGCTGAACCATATTAAAACCCCAATAATTTAAAACCAAATTTAAAATTCCCATTTAAAAAGGGGAAAATTTAGGTCAGGCCAGCTTGATGAAATAGGAATGTCTTAAGCGCGCAGATCCGGGATCCTCCGTATCTCTGGGGGGAGCTCGTTCCAGATAGTAGGTGCCCCCACAGAGAAGACTCTCCCCCTGGGGGCCGCCAGTCGACATTGTTTGGCCGACGGCACCCGGAGGAACCCCTCTCTATGGGAGCGTACTGGTCGATGGGAGGCTATTGGTGGTAGCAGGCGGTCCCGTAAATAACTAGGTCCTAAGCCATGGAGCGCTCTGAAGGTGATAACCAAAACCTTGAAGCGCACTCGGAGGACCACCAATTTAAATAAATACATATGAAAAACAAATTACACAAAAGATAAATACTAAAAACTAAAGTGCATCAAACTGCAGATGGAATTATATTGTTTTAAGATCAGGGCATATGTGGTGGGAGGAAGTACATCAGAAAAAATAGCATGGTATCCATGAATGCCCAAAAAACACAATTTTTACATATAATATGCAATACATGTTAAAAAAGAAAGTATTTTTACCACACAGTTGCAGGTTTTTTGTTTTTGTTTTGCTTTCCCCATGGTTGCACTTAGAATCATAGAATCATAGTACCTGTTGCACGTAGAAAATACCTAACTATATGTATATACTTAAAGCCATGTAAGGGTTAATCATTAATACATCAATTGTCCCCCACACTGACTCCTCCTTACCTTTGACTCCTCCTACTGTGTATATATACTGATGTCCTGGACTGCTTTCTTGTCTTGCCTGATGTTCTCCTGCAATAGAAACAAAGAAATAAATACTGTTTATATTCTCATGACTTGCATCCTGATTATTGGGCCTATATGAAAGAAATAATAGCAACAAGTTGGTAGCAGAGGATGGCTTAAAGGCCCAACCAACCCAAAGATGCAAGAAACTCCAAAGCTGGATGAAGGTAAAAGAGACCTATTACCAGATCACTCAAAAAAAGAATGGCAGCTCAACTAACTCCTACAGAAACCACACTGAAAGAAAAGGCAGAGAAAGAAGAGAAACTTTCCAATAATGAGATACTGCCAGATATCAAAGAACAAACCAAAAATGAAGATACCCTCTCAGTCATCAAAAAGGAGGATGACATGAAAAAGAAAATAATTAAACTGATAGAAGAAATCCCGAACGATCCAAATCTGTTAGCGAAACTCCGCAATCTTATAGAAAATCACGGAGCAGCGACAGATGAGGAGGAAGATGAATCCAGCCAAGATGAAGAAAGTGAGATAGGAAAACCAAATACTAACTATATAACTGATGATGAAGCCAGTGATGATTTCGCACCTTTTTCATGGCCATCTTGCATGACTAATTCATTAAAGATGGCCGACCAGCAGCCAATGGGATTTCAAAATTCGAATCCCAAGGTGGGAAGCGGGGCCTACGAAAAAAACACCTACCAAACAACAAAAACAAATAATAAACTATTAAAAGATGATTTACCTAGCCAGCTCTCCACACTAGAAATAAATAATGCCATGTGAGTATTAACCGCGGCATTTGGAAAGAAACTAAAATTACTGGACCGACAGCCAGACAAACAGAAAAAATCCACTAAACCTACCTATAACAAACAACAAACTGAATTAAACTACATAAAAGAAGAAGCCACCACGAAAAGATTTACAAGCCGCCACCCACCAAAACCAGCTGCCAGGCACACTTGCAAACCTCGCAATAATAAAAGATCATACTCACCGATCAGAAGACATCACGCTGAGCAGTCAATGTATTCCGATAGTGATGATCCAAACCAGGCCCAGTTCTGCAGCCGCACAGAGGAACAGAGCCGCCGGACCCTCCGCGATGACTTCGCTGACCAGAGCAGCAGGAATGCCCCGGTGACTCGAACGACCTCCCAGGCAACCATCGACTACTTGAGGCCTCCCAGAGTCGAGGCAGAAGAACATCCTGAATAATGGGGCCTTCTCCCGAGAACCGCGAGCACAAGATCCTTCATCGGGGACTGCTGGAGAAAAATGAGATCCGAGCATGTGCAGAACGCCTCTGTAAGAAAAAATGCAGAAAACATAGACACAAGTCAGTACAGATATACCTCTAGCATTCCAACACCATATTGTGAGTTCACTAAAGACCTAAACCATGGACAGCGACAGACTGTAAGTAATTCTTCACACAACCCAGGGGCTTTACCAGCAGACTTTATAAAATTAAAGCTCGATGGATCAAACTTATTGGAATGGAGTCAACAGCTCCAAGTTATATATTTAAGAGAAAACATGTTATTTTTTTATTAATGATCCACCCAGCAAACCCTGGACTTTTGAACTGGACTGTTTACATCATAAAGCTTATTATATTCTCATTGCCACTATATCACCTAGCAATTACCCTAGCATTGAACACAACTTAACTGTTTCTGAAATATTTCAAAAATCGTTTAACTTGTTTCACAGTAAGAGTGTTGCCACAACAATGGCAAGGATTTCTAGGGAGTTTCATTCTGCCAGACTAAAAAGTGGAACACCCATGAGTGAACATATTCTAAATTTAATTGCCACCAGAGCTGAGCTCATTCAGAAGGAAGTTTAAAGAGTATTATAATCAACTCATTGGATTCTAGCTGGGATAACTATATAACCCTGTTAGACAGTCTCAGTTTAGAGAACCTATCATTGGAAACACTTACTAACAAACTCATATCAGAGGACAATCTGAGAAGGGAATGTTCCATGAGCCACAGGGAAAGTAGAACTACAAAGAAGGTAGAGTTCCAAAGCAGAGGTAGATATACACCAGAATGCCACACATGTGGTTCAAGGAATCATTATATATGAGAGACTGTCCAAAACATACAAGAAATAAGGACCAAGCATATCACAGGGAGAGGTCAGATAGAAGAGTTAACTTCACAGACAGACATTCACCTGATTACAGATACAAACATAGAGATTCATCCATCACTAAAGATAGAAAAAGTTACAGAGACAATTATAAGGAGGATAGACATGGATCATTATATGGACTAGGAGATAACAAACTCACACCAACAGAATCAAGTAACACATGGCTTATTGACTCTGGAGCCACTAACCATACCACCAATAATAAGGAACTCCTCAATGATTTCATAGAAAAGAGTTACCATGTTAAAGTGGCTAATCAAGACAAAGTCCTAGTGAAAGGAATAGGCAATACACACATCAAAGGCATAGGAAAAATAGAGGGGGTATTATTTATTCCCGAAATCCCACATAACATATTAGCTACTCTTAAATTAAGTGAAGAAAAGGAGATAGAAATTACATTCAAAAATGGAAAAGTATATATGACTAAAAACAAAAGGGACATAGGAAATATTGTTACCAAAGAAGGATTGACATACTTTCACCCAAAAAATGATGAAGGAGCACACATAAACATACTGTCAGGAAACAAAAAATGTAAGGCAGGTAATCATGGAGGTATTGAATTTGACATGAAAAATGACCACATTAACGATGATGTTTCTATTGAGAAAATATCCAATATCCAAAATATCCAATGGTAAGCCAATGCATGATGAGTGCGCACATTTGCTCCATAGAAAGTTGGGACATGCCAGTTTCCCTGTTATTCAAAAAATGTTAGAATGTTCTGATGATGTAAAAGTAAAAAATTGTAAAAATTATTTAGAATGTTCTGTGTGCAAATCTTCAAAACTCAAAAACAAACCTAGGCCAAGAAAAGCCACATGCACCACACATTCAGTCTTCCAACTGGTACATATGGACCTAGTTGGTCCCATGAAACCATCAATTAAGTATAGAAAAAGTTACTTCCTGACTATAGTTGATGACTTCAGTAGATATGGCTTCGTATACACACTCAACCACAAAAACGAAGTGTTTAAAAAATTTAAAGAATTCCACAAAAGAGTAGAGACCCAACATAATATAAAAATCAAGCAAATAATGACAGATAGAGGATCAGAATTTTTGTCAAAAGAATTCTCCAATTGGCTAAGAATGCTGGGAATACTTCATTTCAAAACTTCACCTTTTTCCGCATTCCAGAATGGGGTCATAGAATGCAAAAATGGTTTATTACAAACCATTGTTAGATGATGCTGAACTAGGAAAAATTTTTTGGGCCGAAGCACTTACATATTCAAATTATACCATAAATAGATTATGGTCTAGCGTAATTGGCAAAACACCGTACGAAGTCATGTATGGCAGAAAACCTAAAATTGGCCATCTACATATATTTGGTGTCACTGCTGATGTCTATGTTCCAAAACAAGACACAAAGGAGAAAAGGTATCAAAAAGATTAAAATTCATGGGATATGAATCAGGGACCAAAGGGTATCGATTTATAGACAAAAACAATAAATTCATAATATCTAGAACGGCTGTATTCCACGAGCACGCAAATTGGTCCAAAATACATCTAAATGAATTATACCTTGAAGTTGAAAACACAATAGACACTCATAAAAAACACATACCATATGCAACTGAATCCAAAACACGACAAATTAGCATACCCAGAGACCAGGAGATATCAAATAGAGAATGGAATAAGAATCATCCCAACATACAAGTAGATACACTAACTAAAAAAGAAGCAAGGTATATGCATGATGCTGAGGCACCTCCAAATAGACCCATCAGATCTAACAGAAACACAGTACCAAAAAGATTAGAAGATTACATATTGTCTATCAATGCATACAATAAAACACCCAGTACATATGAAGAAATACTAAAATTACCACAAGAGGAGAAGATCAAGTGGGAACAAGCAATGGAAAGGGAAATGGATAGCTTAAAGGAGTTAAATACACATGCAAAACCAGCTGCAGGTAAAATCCCCATAGGGACAAAATGGATATTCAAAATTAAGGAACTAGAAAATAATGAACTCTTATACAAAGCTAGACTTGTGGCTCAAGGGTTCGCACAACGGTTCCCAGATGATTATGTAGATACGTACTCTCCCACAGTGAGGTCAGAGAGTGTCAAAAGTGCACTAACAATAGCATCCATTCTGAATTTAGATGTGTACCAGTTTGACGTACAAACTGCTTATTTACATCCTGACCTTGACAAAGAAATATATGTGAAGGCACCCCCCGGAAATAATATACAAAAAGGAGAAACTTGGTTATTAAACAAAAGCTTGTACGGATTAAAGCAATCTGGAAAAAGGTGGTATGAGTGTTTGGCAAAGATACTTAGAGAAATGGGTTTTTCAGCCACATCCACTGACTTATGTTTTTTTATCAAAAAAGGGGAAAATTCCATAGAGTATGTACTCATATATGTTGATGACATTCTATACTTTGGGCAACAAAAACATGAATGTGATGAATTCGCTGAAAAATTGGGCAAACATTTTATATTAAAAACTTTGGGGAAAGTAAATAAATATTTAGGTGTTCAAATTGACAAGACCAAAGGGGGATTCAAATTATCTCAAAAAGAAAAAATATTAGAGCTTTTACAGAAATGCAATATGATTGATTCGAAACCATGTGAGTCTCCCATGCAAACTGATTTTATAAAGAACATGAATAACGAAGGTGATTCATTTAAAGACAATACTTTGTACAGTCATTGGTTTGTTACTATACATTTCTAATTGGACTAGGCCTGATATCACTCTTGCTGTTAACCTTCTGTCCAGACACGTAAGCAATCCTAATACATATCATTGGGAAGGGGTAAAAAGAGTCCTTAGATATCTAAAATTCACCACTGATGTTTGTTTATACTTAGAACCTGTACATTCAGAAAAACCTATTCTGTCATATTATGCTGATGCGGATTGGGCCGGAGATTCAAAGAGTAGAAAAAGCACATCTGGTTATGTCTTCCTTATAAACAATTGTCCCGTATATTGGTACACTGGTAAATAAAATTTAATTGCAACCTCCACAGCTGAAGCTGAATATATTTGTCTCTCAAAAGCGGCCAATAATTTAACGTGGTTTGACGATCTGCTATCTAACATCTGGTCTGAACCCAATTATCCCATAACCATCCATGAAGACAATAAAGCAGCCATAGAAATTTCAACTTCTGAAGCAATAGGCCAAAGGTCGCTCCATATAGATATAAAATATAAACATGTCAGACAGCTATCTAATATAGGATTTATTAAAGCTATTCATTGTGATACGAGTGAACAAGTTGCAGACATTTTGACAAAACCTTTACCAATTAAACAACATGCTTATCTAACCTCGAAATTGAATTCATTGTGATACGAGTAAACAAGTTGCAGACATTTTGACAAAACCTTTACCAGTTAAACAACATGTTTATCTAACCTCGAAATTGAATATATGTATATAAATTGTAATATTGATAACCGTTAGGTATTTTAGAGGGGGATTTGTTGCACGTAGAAAATACTTAACTATATGTATATACTTAAAGCCATGTAAGGTTTAATCATTAATACATCAATTGTCCCACCCATTGACTCCTCCTTACCTTTGACTCCTCCTACTGTGTATATATACTGATGTCCTGCTTTCTTGCCTTGCCTGATATTTTCCTGCAATAGAAACAAAGAAATAAATACTGTTTATATTCTCATGACTTGCATCCTGATTATTGGGCCTATATGAAAGAAATAATAGCAACAGTACCATAGGGCTGGAAGGAACCTTGGAAATATTTTAGTCCAATCTCCTACTCAAGGCAGGAGACCTTACTATCCTTGGTCAGGAAGGAGAGAAGGAAAGACTTATGCCAGACTAACTCAGGACCCAGTATGATACGAAGAATTTATAAAGACGCTCTTAAAAAGATGTCAGAAATTAAAGATGCATACACATTGAAAAAGTTCTAATTGCCATGCATCTTCAGAAGGCAGTAATGCCTGAGACCAGCTCCTGCAACAGATCTGCTATACCTGATTTTAAAGTTTTACAATTTAATATTTCCAATCATATTATTTCAGTTTTTGAAATGTCATTCAAAATTAAAAGATTAAAAACAAACAAACAAAACCAAAACAACTAGTGTGGCTACTCTATTGAAACAAAATAAAAATCTGTATTTTGAAGTTTGTTATTGATCCATAGCTATGTTTATTTGCTTGGGAGAATTCAGTCCTCCTCAAATTCTGTTATATAGTAGTGGGTGCATATGTATTCTTTGTCAACATAATTGTGTAATAGAATGCATTGCAATAGTGAAAATCATAAATCATTTTACTAATATATGGTTCTATGTTGCCTTTTTCAACAGAGATTATGGACTTTCTTATCTTTCTTTACGAACCAGTATTGGTCTGTGGACATCATTTTTATGCATCCTGTTAGTAGCAACTGATGCAAGCAGCCTTGTGTGTTACATTACCCGATTTACTGAAGAGGCTTTTGCTGCCCTGATTTGCATAATATTTATATATGAAGCACTGGAAAAGCTCTTTCATTTGGGAGAAGTATATCCTTTCAATATGCACAATGACCTTGATAAACTGACATTGTATTCGTACGTGTGATTTTTAAATAAAATTATGTTCTTTTACTGTTTTATTTGAACTTGCTTAGAAATTTTGAGAACCAGATTAAGCTGATAGTTCATCTAAGAAAGTAATCCAATAGTTTAGATGCAGCAGAATTATTCTCTTGTTCTCTTGTTTCTTTGATTACTACTCTTAATGCATATTCTATTTTTGGGGATATTTGTCATCCCACTCATTTTCTTTGCTTTTTGTCTTTATCTCTAACATTGAAAAGAAGGACAATGAGTGTTTATTTTTAGAGTGAGTCATCAGCTCTTTATTAAACCAATTTGTTTTGAAAATGCACTGCATTTTCTGTTTTAGGTCATTTCATTATTTCATAGCAAATTTTCTTAGTTTCCATTATTCTGTTTTTAAAATATGAGTTAAATGTTAAAATATACAAATATGAAATACTGATTCAAATGCTGAATTTTAAATTTGCTAGATGTGTATGTGCTGAACCTCCAAATCCCAGTAATGAAACTTTAGAGCTATGGATGGAAGCCAATATGTCTCTGGATACCATACCATGGACCAACCTCACAGTTAAGGTGAATGTCTTGAAAAGTGATGTAAAATTTCATATTGCAGTGCTGATTAAAAAGAAAATAATAAATTGTATTTAACATGTGGCTTGGGGAAGGTATGGGACTTCCTGAGGCCTTCCCCACCCACCATCAGCACTTACCTGGACTCCTTTTGCTAATCCATGATCATCCATGGATAGCAATGCTGAGACTACAGTCATAAAGTGATGAAGCCACATGACAGCTTATGATTGCATCAAGTATGACCGAAATTCCAGTCCCAATTGTGATGGTAAGGTGAGAACCAACTGTATGAGCTATCAAGACAAAGTCCACTGTTAACAATCACATAGTTTTTTTCCCATGACAATCTGTCATGGGAACTTGATCTTTAGGTCTTCTAATAATGTGCTGATTGGTTCCTACATCTGAATTCACGTATCTTGCTGTTGGTTGCCCTCTTCTTCTCTTTCCTTCTATGTTTCCGTTTTACAGCTTTTTCTACAGAACCAGAACTTTGTATAATGTGTTTGAAGTAGGATAAGTTGAACTTATCTATTCCTTGAATGAAAATTCTGGGTTGATTTATTCAATAATAAATTGTTTTATTTGCTGTCACGATATTCCCAGGATCTTTTTCAACACCAAAGTTTTTTTTAAAAGTATTCTTCTGTCCTACTTCATCGAAGTGCAACTTTTGCTTCCATAGGCTGTCATAGGGAATGCCACTGCTTGGACTGTTTTGATCTTTGCAGGTACGGATATGTCACAGCATTTAGTTATCTTTTCCAAGCCTTCATGGCTACTCTACCAAGTGCTAATCTGTGATGTATTTCTCAGCTACTTTTTTCCTTATTGTCAATGGTTGAACCTAAAAGACAGAAACTATCTAACTTTTTGAAAATTACAGTTCTAAGATTGCTTGTTCTACCTGTTGTCATTACTTAGTTTCTTTTTCATATTTCATTTTAGCTTCATTTTTTTTCAGTTTGTCCCTTGACTATTATTATTAGAGTTTGCAGATCCTTGCAAGTACCCTGCATGCAAAGGTGGCAGCTTCAGGATGAATTTCCCAAAATCTTTCCTTGCTTTACCCCTTCCCTCTCCCACTAACTTTCACTTTTTCAATAAAGAAAATGGATAAAAAGTTGGTAGTCTTCTTGATCTTTCCATTCCCCGCACCCATTTAGGTAGTGAAACTAAACTCTGCATGTCTATCCTTCTATCTTAATCACCTTTAACTATTTAGTTTGCCAAACGTATTACAATAGGTGCCTCTGGAAAGGAGGTGACAACACCTGTAAGTAAGTAACTTTGATAAGTGACCCAGAGGCTGAAGATTAGAGAAAAAGAGCTTAAATAAGTGGGGAGGGAATAAAGCAAGGGAAATGTTTTAGGAAACAATCAGGGAGCGAGGGAGGACCCCTTACAGGGCCGTGCTGAGGACTTTGCACAGTTTCTGCAAGATAAAATCACTCAGATTCGGACCGGGTTGGACTCCGACTGGACAGTGTCCGTTGAGGTGACAGGACCTAGTCTCGGTGGAGACATCTGGGTTGAGTTTGAGCCTGTTTCATTGGATGACGTGGACAGGATTATGGGTAGGCTGGGGTCCTCCACATGCTTATTGGGCCCTTGTCCCTCCTGGCTAGTTTTGGCAGCCAGGGAGGTGACTGGAGACTGGATCCAGGCTGTTGTCAACGCTTCACTAAAGGAAAGGGTCTTTCCCGCTGCACTCAAAGAGGCGGTGGTTCAACCCCTCCTCAAGAAGCCTAGCCTGGATCCTGACGTACTTAACAACTATCGTCCAGTCTCCAACCTTCGCTTTTGAGTCCGTGGTGGCACAGCAATTCCCTCAATTTCTGGAGGAAGCTGACTACCTGGATCCTTACCAATCTGGTTTCAGGCGTGGCCACAGCACGGAAACGGCATTGGTTGCCCTAGTAAATGATCTCTGGCGGGCCAGGGATGGGGGTTGCTCCTCCATCCTGGTCCTTCTTGACCTCTCAGCGGCGTTCGATACCATCGACCATGGTATCCTGCTGCAGCGGCTCAGGGGGATAGGGTTAGGAGGCACTGTTCTACAGTGGTTCTCCTCCTATCTCTCGGGCCGTCTGCAGTCTGGTTTTAATTTATTGGGGTTTTAAAATGTCTCAGCCAAATTTATTTAATTAGTTTTATCTCTATTTTAAATTTTGTATCTACATGTTTTATTTTATGGCTGTTCACCGCCCTGAGTCCTTCGGGAGTAGGGCGGTATACAAATTTAATAAAAAATGAAAAAAATAAATAAATAAATAAATAAATAAATAAATAAATAAATAAATCCATCCATCCATCCATCCATCCATCCATCCATCCATCCATCCATCTATCCATCCATCCATCCATCCAGAAGCTGCTGCCTTTCTTCTTCAAAGCCTAGTAAGAGCTAGGAGAGATTGCCAGCTGATCAGTATCAAAGTCTAGCTCACAAGCGTGGTCTCCTTTGTAAAATGCCACTGGCATTTAAGCCCTCTCACTTAAGGACCCTTATTACTTTTGACCATAATGGGAGGCTCATTACAATCATAAATTGAGGGTTACCTGTATACGGTAGTTTATTCATAGGGTGTTGAGGATGTTTTGGGATTCCCTGAGTTGGATGTACATACCCTCAAATTAAAGCTGACAGTCAAACATTGTGTTTGTTTCATTCCAACTCCATTGTGGTGGTGTATAGAGCTAAAGATGTTAGAATTGTGTCGATGTCCCAATATTTCTGGACCTGACTGTATATCAACAAATATCTTAGCTCCTATTCTCTCCTAGGCTTTCTCCCATTCCATGGTTATTTCTTATTTTCTATAAGTAACAACATTTTAAGTCACTTTAAAATCAATTTTCTATAATTATTGAGTCTGTAAATAGTTCTTTTTAATATACAGCACCTTGAAAAACATTTTCTTCTAAATTATTAGGTCTGTAAATAGAGCTTATTAAAGATTCAAAATTTAAAAAGGCATTAGAACATCCAAAAATCATGTTTTTCAATCATTTGTACTCTTGTTTTCTAGTCAAATTATTTGTATATTTATAAAATAAATTTCAATAAAAATAATAGTAAAGAAAGAGAGAGAATAGTAACAATATTTATTATAGTTAGAATAAAAAAGAAAAAAGAAGCAAAAATAAAGAAAGGAAAGAGAATAGAAATATGACAAAAGAGATTACAAAAAAGAATTAGAAAAAGTAGAGAGGGGAAAAAAGACAAAAGAGAAAAAAAAGAAGAAGAAGAAGAAAAGAAAACAAAGAAAGAACAAAGAGAAGAAGGAAAGTATCTCCTAACATTATTCAAACATCAAACACCCAGATACCATTATATCCGTTTAAATCAAACTATAGTGTTTTGTTATCTTGTTACATAATATACTCCATTATTTTTTCTTTCTCCAATCTGTCTAAGTATGTTTCTTTTCCATTTCAATGTCATCAAAGTTATAAGTTATATAAAATTAGTTCTGAGTTAGCTATTCCATATATGGTATCATCATGTCCTTTTATTGCCGCACTCTTTTTCTCTTGTTAACACGTTTATTAGTTCAGTTTTCATTATTCCATTTAGTTTCTTCTTTCTGATCTTCAATAAATCCTCCAATAAACAGATTATATATCCAAAGTCAAGCCTCCTGTTTTTTCTCAAAATAATCCACTTTAAGTAACAAGCAACAAAGTTTCTCTTTCAAATAACAAGCAGTCTGGAATTTACACTTTCACTTCTCAGCTGGCAACCATTTTGTCCATCTCCGTTTGTCTTTTGTCTTTGCTTTTAAAAGCGTATTTATTTCCTCTTCTCTTTCCTCTCTCTCAAACATAATCCATTCTCATTTAGCCACAAAAAAAGAAAAAGAAAAACCAAATCTGTAGTGAGATCATTTCCAAGAAGTCAGTAATTAACGCTATCCATCAACAGGTCTTTTTCTTCCACCATTTATTTGAGTGTTTTTGCCCCAATAGTTCTCAGCCGCTGTTAAGGCTGGGGCACACTTTTTTTTAAAATTTGATTTATATGCTGCCCTTCTCCAGAGACTCAGGGCGGCTTACAATGCATTAAGAAATAGCCTTCATACTTTTGTATATTTATACAAAGTCATCTTATTGCCCCCATAATCTGGGTCCTCATTTTACCTACTTTAGAAAGGATGGAAGGCTGAGTCAACCCTGAGCCTGGTGAGATTTGAACTTGCAGTAATTGCAGGCAGCAGATGTTAATAACAGTGTTATTTAGTCCGCTGAGCCACCAGAGCTCCTATTACACTTATTGTAATCCAGCTTTTACGGGCAGTTGCCACCTGGGCAGAAGTCCACTCACCCGACTTTCAAACTCCCTGCTCCGCTCTCCGCTTCTCCTCCTGCACATCCTTTTGTTCCAGTTGCTGCGGTCTCGGGGCAGCCGCCATGGCTGTTGCATCCACTGCCACTGGCGCAGAGGGCAATCCTCCGGCCCCAAGGAACCTGCCCGTTCCTCTCGGCCGTCTGAGGGGTCCCTTTCTAACCCCCTGTCCCTACAGGACAGGGTAGGTCCACAGACCTGCCGGCACCGCCTTGACAGACGGGGTTTTCGCGGGGCTCCAAGGAGCCCCACTAATTCCCCGTCTGAATCGCCACGGCGCCAACCGGAAGTTGCCCCTCTTCTAAGCTATCTTGAATATTGTTATTTGCAACAGAATTACAGTTAAGATAATTGACTATTAACTATCTGTTGTAATTGTTTAGAATATCAATTCAATGTTGGGACTTCCTTCTGAGCTAAGAAATATTTAGAAAGAGTTTCCTTGTTTTCCCTACTTTGTTTCTAATTTCAGTGCCTTTGCAGATGTTGCTGTAACATTGATTCTTGTTTCTTTCAACAGTTCTTTGTAACTATTTTTCAAGTTTCTACCTGAAATTTTTGTTTTTCTTGGCTTTGGCTTCTTTTATCTTCTTGGCAGTTTTCATTGTTTGTTTTCACATCCAGTTTCTTCTTTTTCTTAATATTTGGCAATCTCTTTTCACATTCAAAACTTCTTTAAGTTCATTTCAAATTTCTCTGGTGCTCCATCAATGAGGGTTAGGACTTCAAAGTGATCCCTGATGCTCTCCTTGAAAATGGTGGGTATATGTTTAAGATTATATCATGGAAATTGGTTAGTTTCTTCTTTAGGCTTAACTTGAAGTTTGCTCAGTTTATGATCTATTCCACAGTCTGCATTGCCATGACTTTGATGCCTTAAAAGAGCTCTGTATAGAAAAATATATTTAATCAAATTTCAATGGACTCCATATGGTGCTGGTCCATTTATAAAGGCAGCATTTTGGTTGTTGAAGGCCTGTCACCTATGAAGAAATTATTGGTGTGACAGAAATTGAAAAGTCAGTATTCTGCTTCATTTCAGTTCCCTAAACTATACAACCCAACTACATTTTCCTCTTTAATATTTCTAACCTTGGCCTTCTAGCCTTCAGTCTTACTTGGCATATTTTGACATGTTTATGAACTTGATCATAAAATCTCTTCTGCATCAGTGTTTGGAGCATAAAGTAGTATAGCTATCATTTAAGTGATTGTCCAGAAAGTCTAATTAATAATATTTTGCGACAGATTGCAAGTACTGTTCTTGTTAAACCCTTCTTTCTTCTTTGTTCTTAATATTCTGAGTAATAAACAGTATGATTTCCTAACTGAAAGGGTCCAATCCTAGTCCATTTCATTTTGCTAATCCGTAAAATGTCAATTTTCATACATAGGGCAAATTAGGCTAAGCATGAGAAAAAAATTGTTTATTTATGGAGCTTTTAGGCTTTTTTACTTAGAACTAGAGTGTTTCCCTGAAAATAAGACAGGGTCTTATATTAATTTTTGCTTCAAAAGACGTATGAGGCTTATTTTCTGGTTAGGTCTTATTTTTGGGAAATATGGTATTAAAATTCGTCCATCTGACAATATTAACTGGGGATTATTTTGGGGGTAGGGCTTCAATTATGAGCATCTGGAAAAATCATGCTGGTTGGGTCTTATTTTCAGGGAAACACGGTAATTCTGAGTAGTTCAAGCCAATTATTAAATTGATTTGTATTTTTGCATATTAAAACATTAAACTTTTTTTTTTTAAATTAACAAGTAAATGTTGCTTGGTCTATATTCAAGCAACTGAGTTTTTAATTTCATGTGTGATGAAATTATAATACATACAAATTTAACTTCAGATGTGAATATTCTTAATGCAACATGTGATTTGTGTTCGTATTTACAGGAATGCAATAATCTTCATGGCATATTTGTTGGATCAGCTTGTGGACACCATGGTCCATATTTCCCAGATGTTCTTTTTTGGTCTGTTATATTATTCTTTACAACATTTTTCCTTTCCTCTTTTCTCAAGCAGTTTAAGACCAAACGTTATTTCCCCACTAAGGTAATTGTGATAGCTTTTATACTTTACATGATTTTTACAGTAAGTATATTGCTGAAGATAATTTGATTTGTAATATTAAAGGCAAAGAATATATTATTTTCCTATTTTCCAATATTCCTGCTGCATCCTTAGTCGTATTGATACACAAAAGATCTTGAAGCTGATTTGCATATCCAGGCTATTGCAGCATGGCTACAGAACAAGTAGACATTATTTTGCTGCGCTTTCATTTTCATTCCTGTGGCCACAGTATTCTACATTAAAGTTGCAATACTTAAGTATTAATGAATATAGCTAATAAAATATCAATAATATTAATAATTAATATAATATGAATTATTACTAAGTAATACAATACAAAAATTAACAATATTTCCTAAGCACTGTAGAAAAAAATGAATCCTGCTTTCTAAGGTCAGAGACTTGAGAAAACACGCTTTAGCACTGAATATCTCTCTTAATATCCCTTTTTATTATTTAATGTTAATGAAGTCTGGCATAAGCAAAGGTTAACAGAAGTGTTGGAGTGGTATGCTAGATTAGTTGAAGACCTTGGCTAATGCATATTTCCATGTCAGTTCAGAATTGAAAATAATCCTAAAGTGATATAGATGTTTTTATCTTATTGCAAAACATATCTTTTTGTTGGCAAAAAGGAATCATTTCTGAAATCCAGAGAATGAAGAAAATTTTTATTCCTGTTCTTTGTTCCATTTGGGTTTGCTTCTTCACCATCTTGTTTTTTGTTTTCTGAGGTTTTTTTTTATAATAATAAAAATTATATTATATATATAATAATATAACAATTCCTGTATGATGGTGTGATCAACCATAATAACAAAAAACAAAGATAGTACCAATAGTAATAGGCACCTGAGTGTAATCCCAACATTTGTGTACCACTTGAATACCATCAGCATTGGCAAAATCAGCCTTAGTCAATTGCCAAAAGCAGCTTTATTTGTGAATGTGGCTACATATTTTGTATACAACCTGTCAGAAATTTAATAACATGGATGTTATATTACATTAGAACTATATTAATGTAGAACTTTCTACATTAGAAAGTTTTTAGTTAATTTTTCCTAACATTTTTTTGTTAAGCTGAATATTTGTGCTATAAAAATTAGCATATTTCACAAAAACAGATTTGATAATGAAAATGCATTCTTTAGAACTTAGATGAAAGTAAGGCTTAAACAGTTGAAAGTGTATGTTTTAGATTGCTACCTGATTCAGTATCATTTTCTATAATATTTATTGTGGTATGAATGATACATTACAATACATAAAATTTGAAATAGCACAGGTTTTAGCTTAAACAAGTGCACAGTTAGCACATGTTATGCTTCTGTGATATGAGATGATAACTTATTAGACCTGAACGTGAACAATTGTAACAAAAGTTTTTCAAAGGCTAATGCATACGAAATATATTGCTAGTACTTTTTAATTAACATTAAAGTGAAGCATTAAATTGATCATAGTTAACCTGATTAAAGTTTAAGAAAGTAATGATGAATTGAAACAATGCTAAATTACATTTAATTAGACAGAAAAATTGCTGATGACAATGAGCATAAAATCTTGCTAACTGCTTTCAAATTTTTAAATTCTGTGTATTGAGTATTTTCATTATGCATTGTAAAATAAGGAGAAATACTTGAATTGTTGACATACTGTATGTTTTTAAATTGTTAAATAAATTATTTTGCAAGATTTTGCTTTAATATTTAGATTTATTCATGAATTTTTTTTTCATGAACAGGTTACTCCTATTTCAAAATATTCTAATATTAAGATGTTAAGAGCATATTACAGAGTCGGAATAATTATAAATGTTATTGTCCTTCAGAACTATTTCATTGCACATAAGTATTTGAAGTGCCAACGTGCTTTTATGCTTCTTTCTTTTTTTAGGTACGTTCTACAATAAGTGATTTTGCTATATTTTTGACAATAGTGATTATGGTTTGCATCGATTATCTTGTTGGAGTTCCTTCTCCTAAACTAAATGTGCCTGAAAAATTTGAAGTAAGCAAATGCTTTTTAGTTTTCTCTTAATAAATTCTAAAATACTATCCATTAAATTCTCAGGCAAGATTATTTAATTTTTAAAAAAGTAGCTGTTGGTTTGATAGGCTGCAGCAGCAGGACTATTTATTAGCTTTGTAGATGCTTGATTGAATAACATTCAATGAGAAATTATACTAGTGGAATTCATATATTTGATTGCATATTTTATAGTTTTGACTCAAGCAGCTTTCTGCTTCTGCAGATGCTTTCTGCAGTACTGTGAAGATCACATTATGGCAATAAAATGGAGCAGTTTGTTCCTGGGCTGGGTGGTGGCCTAGCAGAAGCATCTGTCAGTTTGGCATGTTCATGTGGAGATTATACTAAGCAAAATGGGACAGCTTGTCTCTATGCCACATGATGGTTTCCTGGAAGTGGACATACGCACATGGGAAGGTCAAAATAGCAACCATTTCCACGAGGCTGCCATATACTCAGGGATACATGTCCTGTCCTCTTTTCCAACATGAAGTTTAGAAATCTTTTTAAATTAAGCAACGAAGAAGGTATGGGACATAGTGGGGTGGGAATCAGGCCTTTGGGACTCAGTAGGAGGGTGAAAAGATCTGTAGGGACCCAAGGAGCAGGAAGCAGAGCACAGGGTACCTTGGGTATTGGAGGACACTTTCGGTAGCTGGGGGTTGATGGGCCTGCACTAGGCCTTTAATGGCCTTATCCACCCCTGAGGCATCCCATGCTCTGCTTAACAACTGTATGTTTGTTTAACAATCACATAGAGGAAAATAGGATGTGGGGGTTGTTAAGTGAGGCCAATTTGCTTAACAATTGTCACCACTTGCAACCATAATGAACAGACTCTATTATTGTCATGTCTCAAAGGTTACCTATACATTTATATAACTATATTTTTATTTATTTAAAAGTATCTGTTTTTAATTGCTTCTTGGTTTATATCAGTGTGGCGAACCTGCATGCCACAGGTGGCACTCAGAGTCCTCTCTATAGGCCCAGCCTCTCTGTTGCCCCAGCCCAGCTCCATCGTGTTCCTCCATCGCATTTCTTGCCATCGTTTGCAGGGAAACAAAAGTTTGTGGAACTAAAAAAAAATTTCAATCAATCAATTCCAACTTCTTGCAAAAGAAAAAGATATCACGAAATTGGACTTGATTGAGTGAATTTTTTTTTTAGTCCCACAAACTTTTGTTTCCCTGCATATGATGGTGAAAAATGTGACAGAGAAATACGACGGAACTGAAAATCAGGTAGGCAAAGAAATTATTGGGAGAAGCGAGGGCATCTGGGTGGCAATGGTGGGTGGAGCAAGCTCTGCACTGCAGTGTTAAAATGGTGAAATGGGCAATGGAACAGCCAGTACGAGGTAAGGAGGAGGCCGCTTTCCCTCTCTTCTCCCTGCTACTCCTCCTTCCCTCATGCTGGCCACTCCATTTCCTGTTTCTATATTGCAGCACAATGCCCAGAATCCACTTTGATAGCAGGGTGGGAGATAATTTGCCTGGCCAATCCTGCAGTCTCCTCTATGTTGGACTCAGCTTTGATTGGGTCGGTCAGTCACTCCGTCGGCACTAAACAACACAGTCCTGTCGCGCCATGCCTTCTCCTGCTGCAAGTGTGCCCAGCTGTGTGTGGCCTTTCCTCCGCCTTTTTTTCCCTCCCAGATTGCAATGGACAAAAAAACAACGAAGCCACCCACTAAACAAGCAGCAGCCATGGTGGTGGTGGCGACGGAGGGTAGGGCGGAGAAGCAAAGAGTGTAAATTGATAACTACCCATATTGTACTTTTCAGCCCTAGACAATCATAGTATTTGCATAGTTTGGGGGGGGAGGGGAATAAGCATATTTCTTTATTGGAACCACTCATCAGACAAAGAAGCAGAACAAAAAAAGTTATCTGGTCTCCATACAGTGGATTCAAAGTATCCCTAACCTTGTCTTTTCCTGCAAGATACAGGCTGTGTACCAATAACTTTGCCCTCCCCGCTTTCTTGTTTTGAATTTCCTGTTCAAAGGTAATTGGATTTTTTGGCTTGTAATCAAAAGTATCTAGACTCAGATTCTCCCTTCTTCTGTCCCGGACAGGACTTTTTATGATGATACAGTTTTCTTCCAAATAAATAATTGATGGGTCTTTAGTTATGAGGAAAGCAATGTCTCTTTCAATAATAGAAATTAAAACTATTTTATTTTAACAAGAAAAGAAGTAAAAATATACAGAGAAAATTGGGATAAGAAAATAAAGAGAAAAACAAAGAAATTATATTACAAAAGTTTTTCTTTTTTTATTGTTGCTAAATGTAATATTTCAGAAGCAGAAAAAAATGAAGGGGCATAAAAGTGCATTTATCATGTTTTTCTTAGAACAATTAGCTGAAATCTGCCTTGTTTATCATTATTTTAGGTAGTAAAACTTCAGTATTCAGATTAAATTGCCATGTTGGCACATTGTGATAAATAAATGGGTTTTGGGTTGCAGTTTGGGCACTTGGTCTCTAAAAGGTATGCCATCACTGGTATATATGTTTGATTCCTGACAGCCATAGGCTATAATTAAAATTTGTTAAATAGCTTGCTTATTTGGTGGTTCAGCAAAGCTTTAATAGCGGTATAACAGATGCTAAAAAAATAAAGGTTAGGAACCCCTGAAGTATGCTGATGCCTTGTGGTCATGCCAAATTAACCAATTTTATTTAAACTAATGTTGTAGTTTTGTATTGTTGTATTAATTGCATCCTATATGAAAGGTATCTTTTTTCAAAATTTAATCTTTTAAATTTAAATTTTAAATTGCTTTATTATAATCTGTATCCGGGTATATATAGTAAGTGTTTTTCTTATAAATAATGAAAAATATATGTTCCTTTTCGTAGCTGTATGTTTATGTTTTATTTTAGCCTACAAAGAGTGATCGTGGATGGCTTATCAATCCTCTCGGGAGTAATCCTTGGTGGACCCTAGTAGTTGCTGCAGTTCCTGCTTTGCTCTGTACCATCCTTATTTTTATGGATCAGCAAATTACAGCAGTTATCATAAACAGAAAAGAGCATAAACTCAAGGTGAATATTTGTTTTGTTTGTTCATTTATTAACAAAACAGTTAACTTAAATTAGAAATAATTACAGAACTATAGTAATTTTCTATATACAGGAATCATACTAGTCAAAATTTTGTAGTCAGCTAAATACTTTAATAATTTGTAGCAGACAAATTATTTATAATATAATTTATTTATATAACGTAGATCATTTATTCTTGGAAAGTTTCATGTGAAACAGTTTTGATTCTGGTGATTGCACGGACATGTATTTTTTCTTGACATTTATTTGTTACTGCCTTTTTCCAATATTGCCTTTTTTCCTATTGCCTTTTTTAACTTCCTAAGCTAATACAGTATACAGCTAAGTAATTTCCTCTTAGCCTCACACTGATAACTACGTCCAACCCTTCTTAGCTTGTTGAGATCAACCAAGGATTGCTAAGGCTACCATTCAAAAGGATTATTTTTGGTAAAGCTGTTTTAAAATTTGGTAAAGGAATTTAGCTGGAAAGTATGGTAAATGAAATATTGATGTTCTAAGATTGTAGGGAGGGGCAACAGAATTAAAAGCTAGAAACTTGGAAATGATTGGTCGTAGCATAAATATTGTCTATGCATGTGTATACTGTATATGCATGCATGTATACATACACAGATGCACTTCCTTCAGTATAGCTGCAAAAGTCTTTCAAAGGACTGTTATTTTAATGTTTTGAGGAACAATGTTTTTATTTATGCTCACATATTTTGCTTACACCTCTTACAAATGTTTTGCACAGCCTTGTGTTGAGCTGATTTGTGATGTAAATGTAAAATTGTTGGCTGATTTAGCTAGCTGTGCCTGTTCATATTTGTAGGTAGATTACTGCATTTTGACAGATAGAAAGCAACAAGTGAAGCTATGGAAAATCTCATTGTGCATCTAGACAATTAGTATAGGTGCCCTTCAGGGCTGTGTGTTCTCTCCATTGCTCTTCTCTCTATATACCAATGACTGCATCTCTAAGAATCTTTCTGTCGAAGTATTGAAGTTTGTAGATGATACAATAGTCATTGGTACCATTCAAAACGATAATGAATCTGCATATAGACGGGAGGTTGAACAACTGGCTGAGGTGCAGCTGAAACAATCTGGAGCTGAACATGCTTAAAACTGCAGATATGAGAATGGATTTTAGAAGGAACTCTCCTATTCTGCCTTCTCTTACTATATTCAACAGCATAGCATTAGCAGTAGAATCCTTCTGATTTTGAGGTTCTATAATCTCCTAGGATTTGAAATGAACACTTAACCATAGTTAAAAAGGCACAACAAAAAATGTTCTTCCTGCATCAGCTTAGGAAGTTCAGTTTCCCCCAGGAACTACTGATACAGTTCTACAGAAGAATTATTTGAGTCTGTCGTTCATATTTCTATTACTGTCTTGATTTGATATAGCAACTAAACAAAAAGTTATAGACTCCAATGGATAATTAAAACTGCAGAAAAAACAATTGCAAGAGTTTGCCTTCCATAAAAGACCTGTATATTGTGTGAGTCAGAAGGAGGACTGAGAAATTATATACAGCTCCCTCACATCTTGAACCTAAACTGTTTCAATTCCCCCCTTCAGAACATCGCTATAGTGTGTTACATGTAAAACACAGGGACAGTTTTTTCCTCGTGTCATCACTCTGCTAAACACCTAATCCTCCCAATACTGTCTAAGTTTATTTACCCATGTTGTATGGCTGTAATATTATTATTATCCTTCTCATTTTCTCTATTACACCCTTATTGATATAATTATTATGATTATTATTATTCTGCTGGTTTACATGTACACTTCTTCATCTGAGACAAATTCCTTGTGTGCTTAATCACACTTTATTAAAAAAAGTGTTGCATTGCGTTGCGTTGCATTGTGTTCTCTTCTCTTCTCGTCTCGTTCCATTCTTTGTGCCAATTCAATGAAGAATTTAATTTTTCCCAAATACTGAAGCTGTAAAATCTTCTATTATCCTAAAAATTCTTACCCACTTCTATGTTTTCTAGAAAGTCCAACCTTGTAATTTTGTAGAGTAGTATTTATCATATCTCTATCATAAATCTAATTTAAAACCTTGCACTTCTTTTTCATTTTACTGACCATTGTATTCTGTTGGGTATATTCACTGACACATTATGAAATGTGAAACAATTTTAAATTTAGTCCACTTTTATAATAAATCTTTATATAAACATTCTAAATATTGTGAACATTATCTGTTTACTTTGATACCATTTTAGCACGGAACATTTATGTTTGATTCCACAGAAAGGTTGTGGTTATCATCTGGATCTGCTCATGGTTGGCATTATGTTAGGTATATGCTCTATCATGGGTTTGCCTTGGTTTGTGGCTGCAACTGTCCTTTCAATAAGTCATGTCAACAGTTTAAAAGTGGAATCTGAATGCTCAGCTCCAGGAGAACAACCAAAGTTCCTGGGAATCCGTGAACAAAGAGTAACAGGATTAATGATTTTTGTTCTGATGGGGTTATCAGTGTTTATGACCTCTGTTTTAAAGGTAAGAAGCAGATTTTTAAAAATTCTATTACAAGCTTAGTATATTAAAACAGTTGTTTTCCTTTCCTTTCCCTTCCCTTATTTTCCTTCCCTTTCCCTCCCCTCTCTTTCCCTTTTCCATATTTATTTTCCCAGGATCCATTGATACTACTAAATATGGTAGTCCCATATCCATATTATTAATCTCTCATTACCATCAAGTCCTTCACTATATTTTTCATTTTCATAATCTACAATCAAATTAGTCATATTTGTATATTCATCTCTGCCTAGGTGAATAGTAATGCCATATATCTGAACCATTTTTCCCCCTAACCAGATACTTGCCAATTGCTTAAGTTCTATTGACAGGTGGGCTCCTTTTTCAAAAATACACTGAAATATTCATCTTGTTAAATCTGTGCATTTTTGGGGGGGAGGGATGAAATAGTCAAATCTTTGCAAAAAATGTTAATATTTTTATATTCGTTGATTTGTTGATTTTCAAAGTTTGATTTGTTGGTTGTTGTTGTTTTTTTTTTACAGTTTATTCCAATGCCAGTTTTATATGGTGTTTTTCTTTATATGGGAGCATCCTCACTAAAAGGCATTCAGGCAAGTTTTAATTTTACTCATCTTGCTTCTGTAAAAAAAAGTAACATAAATGTTCTGCAGTATTTGGTTTTCCTGTCTCACTCTGCCCCCATACATGATGCCTTTTGAGTGCCTTGGGGAGGGTCTTGAAAGTATAAAGTTCAGGAGGTCACATACTGAGCTCTAAAGAATATAAGATGGACTTATATAGGCTTTTGAATTTCTCATTGTTGTAATAGCCAGTTTGATGTATTGATGAAGCTACTGGCCTAAAACCAGAAAACTAAGTTCTAGGCCTCACTTAGGCACAAAAGCCAGTTGAGTGATTTTGGGCCAGACACAGTCTCTTACCCCAATCCAACTCACAGAGTTGTTGTCATAAGAAAATAGGAAACTGGAGTATGAGGTATCTTCGCCATTTTAAGAGAGAGGGGGAGGGAGAGGGGGAGGGAGGGAGAAAGAGAGAGAGGGAGAGGGACAGAGACAAAATGCAGGAAAAATGTAATAATAATAGTTATATAGTGAGAAAGTGTACACACAAGTACATGTTGCATATGTGCATACACATACTTATTCCCAAATCCTGTGTCTTAGCAGTAGTGTTCATCTTAAAACTATGCTAGCTTTGGTGAAAGGGCACACCTTGAATTTTTACAAATATATCTATCTTTATAATATTGCAAATTATAACAAATAGACAGGAATCCAGAAATTCTAAAAGTTTATAGTAACTAGTGTAACTCTTTATTACAGATTTAATAAGATTATTATTTTTACTAAAGAAGTGTCATGCCTAATTTGTAATCAATTTATTTCTATAATTATTTTTGTTTTCTAAAATTGTTTTTAGGCATATGTTTAATAATTTTTCTTTTCATTACAGTTTTTTGATCGTATTAAACTGTTCGGTATGCCTGCCAAACATCAACCTGATTTGATTTATCTCCGTTACGTGCCACTATGGAAAGTACATGTATTTACAGTAGTTCAGCTTACATGTCTTATTCTTTTGTGGGCAATTAAAGCATCAGCTGCTGCTGTTGTTTTTCCTATGATGGTAAGCTAATATTTCACTACAACTTTATGCATCATTTATAAATATATAAATATGAAATTCAATGATAATATTAAATCTATGCAATTAATGCTGTGTACTGTAATTTATATCAATTCTATATATTAGTATTTTGATTTGCTAGTAATTTATATTTAAAACTGTTTTAAAGGTTTTAGCTTTAGTTTTTGTTCGCAAACTTATGGATTTGTGTTTCACCAAACGGGAGCTCAGTTGGCTTGATGACCTTATGCCAGAAAGTAAGAAGAAAAAGGAAGATGACAAAAAGAAAAAAGCAAAGGAAGTAAGTGGAATTCATATTCATATAGAAGCAGTGTTTGGTGGGGAAATGGAAAACATTTTCCATATTTGATTCAAGTTTATCAGTAAAACAAGTGGAAATTAGCTTTTAGTTCCTCTAAATATATAGCTTTATTTTTTTTATTTTTATTTTTTTGTACTTGTAGTGTTTTTAGTTGAAAAAGTCTCCTTTTGTTATTAAAAGCATTTGAAATGATGAAAACAAATCGCAAAAATGAAAGGCAACAGCACATATAGTACGGGCACACATGAAGATAAACAAGTGCAGACTGAAGTACTGTAGCAGCGTCTAAAACTCTAATGCTAGATTAGCGCTAATCTCATACTCTCAACTGCTCATTTTTATTTTTATTTATTAAATTTTTATGCAGCCCATCTCCTCTGTAAAGTGACTCTGGGTGGCACATGCACTAACCTTGCATAAACTGAATTTTTTTTCAATACTTTATTAAGTTTATGAAAATACATTAAATATCATTTCTATTTACATCGGATGTGCAGTGTTTATACATATATACAAACTATATATCTGGTATTTCTTAAGCTACTTATTCCTTTTATTAGGCATACCTTTTTTCTCCTTCTTTTATTTTATCATTCATCTATTCATACCACCTTCCCCAAACAGTATAGTAATCTGAATTTTCATCTTCATTTATTTCATGGGTTAGCTTGCTCATCTCTGCGCACTACAATACTTTCCTAATTATGTGTTCTTCTGTTGGCAGATCTTTCTCTTTCCAGTGTTTTGCATATGCCAGTCTAGCAGCTGTAGTGATATGTATTATTAGGTGGATCTTTTTCTTTCCATAATTCCTCTTTACTATTTCCAGGAGAAATATTTCAGGTGTCAATTCAATATCTTCTCCAATTATTTCTTGTAACCATCTCCAAATCTTGTTCCAATATCTTTTCGCATTGGGGCATGTCCACCACATGTGCCTGATGTCCACCACAAGGTGCCCTGACCGTGACCGCATTTCCAACAATTTGAGTGTATATTTGAGTGTATATTTGGATACATCTTTGCTAGCCTAGCAGGGGCTAGATACCACCTGTGTAGCATTTTATACTGGTTTTCCTTATAAGTCACTGCTCTGGTCAATTTATAATTTCTATTCCATGCCTCTTCCCACTCGTTAAAGTTTATGCTGTATCCAATATTCTTCTCCCATGCTCCCAATTGGTTTTTAATTGTATCCTCTGTTCTATCCTCATCTGATAGGTAGTTGTATATTTTGGCCAGTATTTTTTTTTCTGTTCCCATCAAAACCTTATCAAGCCCATTAGATCCTAGTTCTAAGCCTCATTCCTCCTTGTTTTTCTGGTATCTAGACTTTATTTGTAAGTAAGTCCACCAGTCTAAATTAATACTTTGATCTCTCAAGGCCTCATTAGATTTAAGTTTCCTCCTCCATCTAGGATATCTTTATAGCTACACATTTTCTCCATTCCCCATCTATTGGGATAGATCAGGGCCTCCATCATGGAGAGCCATTTTGGGACTTTTGTATAGTATCATTGTCTAATTGCAGTCCATGTTTGTATTAAGGTATCCCTAATTTTATGCCTATGAAAGTATGTTTTCTTTTTCTTCTCTTTGTCCCATAGGTATGCGTGCCACCCTCTCTGTAAGTCGTGACCTTCCAGAGTTAGAATCCTTTTATTTTCCAGAGTGGCCCACTCCCTTATCCATACTAACTTGGCTGCCCTGTAGTATTTTTCCAAATCAGGGAGTCCAAATCCTCCTAAATTCCTTTTCCCTTGTAAGATTTTAAATGAGATCCTTGGTCTCCCCCCCCCCGCCCATACAAATTTCCTAATGTTTTTGTTAAGTTCTGAAAAGAATTTCTTATCCAAATTTACAGGTATATTTGATACAAGTATAGTAGTTTTGGAAGGATGTTCATCTTAATCGAAGCTATTTTACCTAGGAGCGACAATTGTATTTTCTTCCATTTGTCCAGATCCTGTTTTATTTTCTTAGTTAAGGGGATATAATTATCTTCCTTTAGAGATGAGCACCTTGAAGTTATCCAGATTCCTAGATACTTTATTTTTTAACAACCTGTAAACCCAATTTTTCTTCTATCTCTTTCTTCTGTACCTCAGTTACATTCTTAGTTAATATTTTGGTTTTGGTTTTATTCAATTTGAATCCTGCTACTTCTCCGTATTTACCCAATTCCTCTAAAATTTTTTGTCCGGATTCTAATGGGTCTTCCAAAATCAAGGCCACATCATCCGCAAATGCTTGCATTTTATATACCTCTTTTCTGATCGTTAACCCTTTAATTTCCTCATTGTTTCTGATTCTCCGTAGCAGAACTTCTAAGGCCAAAATAAATAGTAATGGTGGTAGGGGGCATCCTTGTCTTACCCCCTTCCTGATCTGGAATGTTTTGGTCCTATCTCCATTTAATGAAATGCTCGCCCTCTGGTTGTTGTAAATAGTTTTTATCATCTTTTCAAAATTTGTTCCAAATCCCATTATCTTAATTTGTTTAATCATAAAATTCCAATTTAAATTGTCAAATGCCTTCTGGGCATCTACAAAAACTAAGGCAATCTGCTTTCCTGGGTGTTCTTCGTAATATTCTAAGATATCTAACACAATTCTCAGATTATTCCTAATTTGCCTCCCCAGGAGGAATCCATTTTGATCCTTATGTATCCAAGTGTTCAATATTTTTTTAGTTCTTTCCGCCATTATACTCATGAATAATTTGTAGTCGGTGTTTAGGAGAGAGATTGGTCTCTAATTTTGAATTTGTTTTAGATCGGCACCTTCTTTCGGGAGTAGTGTGACATGCGCTTCCCTCCACAAGTCCGGAATTTTGGAGTCCATCAGTGCCTCATTATAAATTTCCACTAATTTTGGTTGTAATATTTCTTCTAAGTTTTTATATATTTCTCCTGGAAATCCGTCCAGGCCTGGCGATTTGTTGTTTTTGAGTTTAGAGAGCGCTGTTTTTAATTCTTCAACTGTTATCTTTCCATTGAGCAATTCCCTTTCTTCCTCTGTTATCCGTGGAAGCTCTTCGCTTGCCAAATATTGCTCTATTTTTTCTTCTGGGATCTCCTCTTCTTTATATAAGGTTTCATAATATTCCCTAGCTATCTCTAATTTGTCCTCTTCTTTGTTTAACAAATTACCCTTAGAGTCTTCTAATATATGAATTGTCCCGTTTTCATTTTCCTTTTTTAATTTATAGGCCAGCCATCTACCCGACTTGTTGGCATTCTTAAAATAGTATTGTTTTGTTCTTTTTATTTTATGTGCCAGATCTTCTTGGTCTATGATATTCAGTTTCTGTCTCCACATCTGCCAACTTTCTTTTGTTATTTTATCTCCCAGGTTTTCTTGGAGTTTCCTTTCAGCTTCATCTAAGTGGTTTAGGTAATCTTCTAGGACCTTTCTTTTTTCCTTATTTTTATATGCACTATATGATATCACAACCCCTCACAGATAGGCCTTCATTGCATCCCATACTATTGCACGAAGGGTTTCTTTGTTTTCATTTTCTCTGAAGAAGAACTTTAATTCTTCTTTAAGTTTGTCTACACATTCTTTATCTCTCAACAATTTCACATTGAACCTCCATCGCTGTTGTTTCTTCCTCTGTGCACTCTGTCACTTTACTTCTAAGGGGTTATGATCTGCCCATGTGTTCAGGCTAATTTCTTTCGTTCCTATTTCTAATTCAAGATTCCTGCTGACCCATGCCATGTCGATTCTAGACCATGACTTTTGAGGATTAGAATAAAATGTATATTGTCTATTATTTGGATGTAGAGTCCGCCATATATCAATTAAATTTAATCATCCACTAAATCAAAAAATGCTCTCGGTAATTTTGCCCTTTTGTTTTTGTTAATTTTATTGCTTTTATAATCCTTATCCGGGTCTACTATTCCATTAAAATCACCTATTATACAAATTTCATTATAGTCCATTTTTCCTAATTGCTCATGAAGTTTTTTGAAGTATTCCCCCTATTTTTTGTTTGGAACATATAAGCCTACTAATAGTATTTTGGAGTTCCCTCTCTTAACCTCGATCATTAGGGTTCTTCCCTTTGTGTCCCGGGTTTTCTTGGAGTTTTGCTCAGCTTCAATTCCTTTTTTGACATAGATTACCACCCCCCTCTTTTTTTTCTCTGCTAATGAGGTAAACGTTTTTCCAAATTTTTTGTACTCTAAGCATTTGCCCTCTTCTTTTTTTGTCCTGTAGACAAATTATATCTGTGTTTTGTTTTGCTAATTTTGTAAGTATTAGTTTTCTCTTTTTATAATCGTTTAGTCCAGTGGTTCTCAACCTTCCTAATGCCGCGACCCTTTAATACAATTCCTCATGTTGTGGTGACCCCCAACCAGGGGTGGGTTCTAAATTTTTTTACTACTGGTTCTGTGGGCGTGGCTTATTTTGTGGGTGTGGCTTGGAGGTCATGTGACTGGGTGGGCGTGGCTAGCTGGTCATGTGACCGGGTGGCCATGGCTATGTGTATAGGGACTACTCAGAGGGCTGAAAAAAGTTATTTCTGACAGGTCCTCGCACTTTTGACTGGTCCTCACACTTATGACCATCCTCACATTTATGCCCGTGCAGCATTCTTAACAACCATGTCACTCATTTCATAACAGCTTCTTTTCACCATGGTGATAAGATAGGGCAAAAAATGTAAAATGTGAGGACAGTCGTAAATTCGAGAACTGGTCAAAAGTGCGAGGACCAGTAAAAAATAACTTTTTCAGCCCTCTGAGTAGTCCATATGCACAAAAGGACTACCCAGAGGGCTGAAAAAAGTGATTTCTGACAGGTCCTCGCACTTTTGACCGGTCTTCGCACTTATGACTGGTCATCATTTATGCCCATTGTAGCATTCTTAACAACCGTGTCACTCATTTCACAACTGCTTCTCTTCACCATGGTGACAAGATAGGGCAAAAACGTAAAATGTGAGGACAGTCGTAAGTTCAAGG